ACATAGTATGGGGGAGCGCGTGGTTGACATACAGAAGGTGGAAGCCAGAAAGCCCATCATTTATTCTTTCTGCTCTCATTTATGCCAGTGCCTGCGTCGTAGCCTTTTTCCACTTGGGACGCTTTTTCCAAGTCAGTTCAACGCTGGGTCCCATGCAGTTGTGCTTATTCAACATGCTGAAAGATGTTATCAAGTTCCTCGCCATCATCTTCGTGCTCTTCTTTGCATTTTCCACTGGGCTGACTAAGATCTATTCGTATTACATCCAATCTGAGAAGGAACTACAAAAACAGGGCAAGGAGAATATTACAATTCATTACAATGCGACGCATCCATATGCCAAGTAAGGACTAAATCTCACTTGCCTGGACTTTAATGATTACTTATGAAATCAAACATAACTCATACAAACGTACAGTCATATCGACAGTTTTCACTCAATACCTCCAACATTCTTTACACCAACGAGACACACGCAACTTTTCCGCACCATTGCCGTTTCACATGCGCAAAGTTCAGTCCTTTCAAGGGCGTCATAATTTAGAGAGGTGATGGTGAAACCTGATTGGTAGATCCCATATGTTAGAGTTCGCGGAGGTGATAAAATAGTTCAATCGCTACAATCTAGTAAGGAGATTGGTGATTGAAAATATAAATGCCTATGATTGGTGAACTAATGTTTGTCGATCGAAATATGATTGAAGGGCAATGTAAATCCCAGCGATCGACCAAGTCGATCGCCATGCATTCGCGAAACTCACTTGAGAATATTATGTCTCACCAAATTCTTAGCTAAATGCTCCTACTTTAGTATTCACTGTTTCGAGGAAACTTACACGTCATTTCTTTTAAGCTTGCCTTAGGAACTGATCTCTAAGTTTCCAAAAAAAGGTTTTTTATAAAACCAATAAATTATTTTCATTGGCAAAAGTTTGGTAACGTTGGTATCAAAAAGTTCATATTTTAGATTCTGATAGAGGTCGTGATTTGAATAAGTTCGATAGAACTATATTTTTAAATACCATTTTCTGTACATACTACGAATTATAAAAAAATACTCCATACCCCAACAAGAGTTGCTCCAGACCTTAAACACTAACCGTCAGACTGGATTATGTCTAACAAGAAGTTCCTTTTATTTTCATCCCTTTCAGCCACATTACCGCTCTCTACAATATGTTTTGGTGGTTGTTCGCTGACGTGAACGAAGACCGAAAGGGTGTCGATGATGATCGCTTCCGCTACATACCCATTTATGTCAGCATTCTTATGATCGTGTTTATGATACTTGCCGTCATTGTGGCACTAAATATGCTGATCTCAATGATGAGCTACTCTTTTGAAAATATCATGGTAAGTTATTTCAGCGGATCTAGGAGATAATCAGGAAAAAAAGCATTGCTTTTGTTTTGGGACCGGTGTTCTTATCGCCTGGGGATCACATGGTTTTCGGGAGGAACGAAGGGGGGAGCAGTCGTCATCGACAAAGTATCAAGGGGGGACCAAAGAAAATTCACTTCCAATTAGCTGTCAATGAGCAGGGTGTGTGTGTGCGCGTGTGTGTGTATGTGTGTGTGTGGGGTGGGTGTTAAAGAAGGAGTATTGCAGAGCCTGATGGGAAGATCAGGTAAATTTCATTGTGACATAACTAAAATCATCCAGGCGATAAATTATGGTCTGTCTCTTGTGTTTTAGCGTTTTTCGTTAGTTTGTTTGTTTTCGGTAAAGAATTACACCGTCTTTCGTCCCCAGGACATCTCCTTTTCAGGTAACGCTGAAAATGACCCTTACCTGACAAAAAATTAAAATGTTTCTCTCATTGATCAAAATAAAGCGAACCATGACAATGTATTCAGAGAGAAATAGAGGATAACACATGGGCGCGCGCAGATATGGAATTTCTCTTCGAGTGTTTAATTCGATAGCTCACGAGTAAGCGCAGCGAACAAGTGAGATGTCGAGTTGAACACGAGAAGAGAACTTTTATATCTGCACGCGCCCATATGTTATTTTGTTTATCAAATAAACACAATAGCCCTTTACTGACAAGGAAAGTCGACTTTACCAATGAATGAAAATAAAAGGATCGACAATCTTCGAATAAAAATCGTACATTGCGTTGGTGCACTTAAGATGAAAACAAGCGTTGAATCACCACAAAAACAAACAATGGGCCTCATCTTCAATACAAAAAATTCTCAGTTTTAGAATTGGCCCTTACCGACAGAAGAAATCTTTCAGGTACACGGCCAAAATCGACCTGTAGCAAATCTTCTAGTTATTGATTTTCGTTCTCTGCTATGAGGAGTGCCATCACCAAAGCCACTGAATACGTAACTTTCGGTTTTTCTTCTCGTATTTTGGTTTTCTTCCCCTTCTAGAGAAAAGTTTGAACGTCACTGTCTGTAAGCGATACGAATTTTTCATTTTTAACAGCCATAATCCGAAAAAATCTCTGACAAACGATCTCGGATTGAGAATGGTAAAGGCTTTGCCGTTCATTCATTAACCTGATCGAGTAGCGCGAAAGGCGAGTGACGTGTCAGCAGCTGATTGGCGATGCCAAACACAGGTGAAAAGATATCGTATTTTTTCACGTGTGTTGTTAAGGCTTTTCTCAGGGCTGGAAATCCTTGTATAACACCGTAGTTTATATGATAAAGTGTGATATCGTTGGAATGTTACAGGCGTGGGTCTTGGCGGTTGGTCCAAAAAGTATTGAGGTATAAGTCGTAAGTCGTAAGCCCTGCACTTGAACATTTTTTATTTTTGGAGCTTGATGTATTTTCTTCCTAGTCATTCACTTTGACATGAGCCATCATCTGATCGAATTTCTGAACTTCAATTTTCTAGAAAAATGCAATTACAGAATGGAAGTTTTCAAGAACCCAAATGTGGCTAGAATGGATTCACAAAGAGAATGCTGTACCTGTGCCTACGAACCTTGTACTTGTACTTGCACTTGTACCTGTACTTGTACGTGTACTTGTAAGTGTACTTGCACTGTTTTTCTTCTGGCTTCCATACAAGATTATCACAGCGGTAAAATGTTCATTAGGGATCAAGCTAAATAATGAATGGAATTAATGCTAAGTTTTAATGTATTTGTCAAAATATCCAATGAACTGGTCATTATTTATCGCCGGAAGGGGAGGGAGGGGTTAGCTCTATATATTATATAATAATTCTAGTGACCTTCCCCCACCCTCATTGACAGTTAATTAGTTGTCAGTTTCCCCCCATAATACTCTGTTGGCGAGGACTGATCCCACTGCGTTCCCCATTAAAACCATATGACTCCCCTAAACTCCTCCACTCTGCACCTGTAAGTTAATGATTAAAAAGAGAGTTTCTCAATCACGTTTCCAGCCTCCAATGTTTCTTTCACCAAATAATCCAGGTTAAAAAGAAAGAAAAAAAGAAAGTTAAGACAGAGATCAACCGTCCTAAGGGGAACTCCACCGACGAGGTAATATGCTAATATCCTATCGATAAACACTTTTCAAAGAGAAGAGATACATGCAATTCATGATCACCACTATCTTGCGTTCTCTCTTTGATCATCGACAGTCCTTTCTGATGCAGATTTTTTTTTAAATCTAACAGAGTGAACTTTTGGTGAATTCTCAAGAACTGGTTAGTTGTACTTTGTCTGTGATACTTCAGAGTACGTGAGATTTTTCCTTAGGGTAAAAGGTGAAAAGAATTTAAATTTGTTCTAGTGGAGCTTTTGCTTTACTAAGAAAAGAGAATTTCTAAAAAATAAATTCAATAGCGCCTACTATTCCCATGACGTGTGAGTTTGGGTTGAAGTGTAGGAGAGGCAATCTTTATTCATAAAAGTTGAAAGTGTAAAAACAAAAACAATTTATTCAGGCGTAAGCTGCGCGTTTACTGAGTTAGGTAAAACCTTGAGAGTTTGAACAGAAACTCTCATCTTTCGACCTCTCTAAACTGGGCGTGTGCTTCATATTTCAATGAAATCATATAGACACATGAAGCAGCTAATGGATGGGGGAGGGGTGCTTTACTTAAGCTTTATTCTATTTGAATAGAGAACATCTCATGAGGGGGCTGGAGAGAGACAGGGCAGTGACAGTGTACGGTCAGATTCTAAGGTTCAACAGGTGAGCTACGATAATTTAATTAATATCATTTCTAAGGGAAATAGTTTGGCAACAATTACTGTATATGCTGCGAGAATATTTGCAAGAACTCGCCACCTTTCGCAACCGAGGATATGATATTTTTAAGAGGAGTGAAACATGAAATTCATCATTAAGATACAATACATCAAGTTTTGTAAACCAAAAACCCCAAGAACTAAGAGAACAATTCATCGAAACTGTTACTAAGAAGCCAAAAAAATAGGGCAACGTAGATTGGAGGATAATAACCATGTACATAAACCCGTTTGCTGTTGTTAGAAAGATAAGATTTGCGTTTTCCCAGGTGCAGTAAATCTAATCGATTTATTTTATGATTCTTTTGCTTTAGAGCGACGATGACCAAGATAAATCGTGTTGTTCTTTCTGTATATGCTCGAGAATATTTGCAAGAAGTCGCCACCTTCCACAAACGAGGTATGATATTTTTAAGAGGAGTGAAACATGAAATTCATCATTGAGATGCATCAAATTTTGTGAAACAAAAACCCCAAGAACTAAGAGAACAATTCATCGAAACTGTTACTGAGAAGTCAAAAAGATAAGACAACGTAGACGAGAAATTTGAAAAGGATATACGCTACCAAAATTGAATAAGGCAGGCAGGAGGTGAGTTTGCAAATACGAATTTCATTTTGTTTTTTCCAAACCCGTTGGTCACTCCTCTCACTCTCTCTTGCCCGTAGCACCGTTACGGTTCTTAAAATGTTCAAGCCCGTCAGGTGCATATAAGACAGTTTCCAGCAAAAGCAACACAATCATTGTTAGTTTCGAAACGCGTAACTTGTGTACTTTTCTGTTAGGCTTGTTCCGGTCTATTATTTCTTCGTTGGTTAACGATTATTACTTAATAAGTTTTTTTTATTTAAATCAGTTTCATTTAAGCACATGTACCAGATATTACATTTCATATTTCATCGCTATAAGTTGCTGTCGACACCATCAATTTTGTCTGCTATTCATGTACGATCCGCTATTGGCGATTTATCTACAATCATTAGGAGCTAGACCAAAGTAAGTTTTTCTTTATTTCATATTTAAGATATTTCCTTTTTTTTTTTGATGCGTATATCGATTTATTTCTTTTTTGATACGTATATCGATTTACATTTCTCAGGGGTATTTTCTTAGTTTAGTTTCTGCTGCATTTTCTTTTAGTTCGAACCACACACAAATTCAGCTACAACGTTACCATCGATCATAACTACGCTATCTTTGATCTCACTTCGCTCTCTTCATCTGTGTTTTCACACCGATCTCCTTATTTAGTTTGTAATTTTGATTATGCACCTCATTTGATTAAACCGTGATTTATACTGTGCGTTCGGATTGTCTTCTCCGCTACACTAGTAACCTTTGAAGGTTACAATCATAGATTGAACATTTGACTTGAAATTGGCCATAAACTTCTCAGATTCTGAGTCTATTTTAGACTTTTTCACGTACTGTTGCTCTTAGCTTTCAAGCAGGCGGTATTCTGCCGGGAGTAGGAGTCACCAAGTCAGTATCAGTCAATTATGATGACTTGAAATTGGCCATAAACTTCTCTGTTTTAAACTTCTCTTGTTTTCAGATTCTGAGTCTATTTTAGACTTTTTCACGTACTGTTGCTCTTAGCTTTCAAGCAGGCGGTATTCTGCCGGGAGTAGGAGTCACCAAGTCAGTATCAATCAATTATGATGAAACATTGGTAATATATTGAGTAATTATAGACTGACTTTGAAGCAAAAAAATTGATTTTCAATAGAAGTTCCTACTATACATTTTGATCATAGCTCAGTCTGATGATTATATGAGAAAGGGTTGAGAATTATCAATTCGTAGTTCCATTTTTTCATCCCTAAGGTTGACAACCTCTCCGTCTAGAGCTGCCATTCTGTCGTCTTACCACTTGAACCTTTTTCTCCTAAACAGGAACGCAAGAAGGTAATGGCAAATCTGGTCGTGAAGTATCTGATGGAACGTTACCCAGAGAAGTTCCCACTATCCGAAATAATCAAAGCTCAGTCTGATGATTATGGAAGTGGACAGAGAAGTGGACAGACTTAATGTCCAAACCATCAGGAAAAGCATGAAATACGCTGTTTTGAAATAATCGCTCCACTAACACAATATAATATTTCATAGGCAAGTGTCATATTTTATCCCCTGCTTGTCCAGATCAGTCTTGTAGTGTAGTGTGCATGCTTCCTAAGTGTTAGCCTATCTTCAGCGACCAGGTGAACTTTCTTTCATACTTTCCACATAAACACTGTAGGAGAACTATTAGGCCTTTTGCAACAGTTTGTCAAGTGACCTCTTCTTCGTAAAAGTAATGATTCAGCCAATTTCAACAAACAATTTTTCTAGAATTAATGAATGCATAAACTTCAAATATGTTATCTTGTATAGTTTAAGCAGAGGTTTCAAAGAGTTGGAAAAACTTGAAGGTTTTGCAAGTGCTGAAGACGATTTGACCATACGTCACTCTTACATGATTTTCATACGAATCTTCGTATTAATCTATTTTTTCACACCGTTTGTTGCTTACAAGTCTGAAACTTTTTTATCAACTTTTTTACATTTATTTTAGTTTAGTCTGCCTCCTATGAATATAAGAATCTGCCTTAAATTTCTTAAACTTGATAAAATATAATTTCACTGGAGGGCAGGATTTATCGCTTTCACAGAAATAGATCGAGAGACAAAAATATAAGTTCTCAAATAGTCATAATATCTCAACCTGTCATGGTACAACATTTGCTATCAGGATGAATGAAATATGGTCTTTCGAATTCTTGACTTCACACCAGTGACAAGGTTACCGATTGCTGGTCACTCAACCAATTTCTACAAAAGGCTTATTCGTTTATTTCGCCGGCTTAAAGGGATTGAAATTTTTGTTTCTCTCTGAATTTCTAGCTTATTTATTGAAGCTTCCCGGTAGCACGGCTAAGATCAGCGGTAAATTTTCTCGTTTACGCCGCTGAAAATCGCTTGTTAGCATGCAACGTCGTTACGTGAGCAGCACAAAGTTTCTTGAATTATCTGTCACCTCAAATTCAGGGCGTCTCCCAGCCGTGTGTTCTGTCACCATACCCCCAAGCTTACCTCAGACATTCTCAAACTTTCGTTCCTAAGTTGCGGGAGTAGCTGGGTTAAATGGTAAAATCTAGTTATCCCTAACATCGAAAGCTTTCGAATATTAAGAAAGAAGTCACATGGTAAAAGATAAGTGTCACCAGCGATTTAATTTTTTGATCACCTAGATTATTTTTAGCTGAATAAATATTTACCATTTTATTCCAATTTCTTTTCCGACATCTATGCGTTCCCACTGGATAACAATCACCAGGATCACCAACTTATTGTTAATGACAGGTGTTACATTTCATATTCTGAATACACCATCCCCTTAGAAACTAAATCATTACGAATAAACGCTAATATCTCAGAAACAATTCTAGAGGTTATTCGTTAACCAGGTTATTAGTAATATCTACCGGTGAAAGAGGCAATCCAGGTAATAGAAATCAGCACAACAACAGAACCGTGCGGTAACGGACCGCCGGGGGAACCGTTGACAAAATGTGCCGATCCGACAGCTGAGCAGAATAGTTTCTAGGGTGAAGCTTACTTGGAGGAAGAGCAGTATGCAGTCGAAACGTCATGATCTACACCCGAAGTGACTACATCGAGAGACAAACGATAATACTTCATGTTATTAAATATCTATCGTCATGACGCCTCGTCAGCAAGTTCGCAATGTGCTCAGCGTAACCAACCACTTCAGCGGGTCATTTATGCAATTGATAAAGTATGTGGGCCAACCAAACAATCGATAAAATTTTTACGATTTTTCGCTCCTCGAAAGAAACAACATTTTTCTTACTTTGAGCTCTAGATGGTAAAAAAATATAATGAGGAAGCATTGGAATCTCCAGCTCACCCAGAAGCGAAATCCTATCGGGAGGTTCTCTCTGGCTACAATTTGGAGATTACTACGTCCTATAAATTTTAATGGTACGTTATTAATGACTTTGAACCGCAATAGGTCAGGTGATGCAGAATAGACTTGTGAAGAAAATTTCCGAAGCAAAAAACTGATGAAAAACTACGATTTGTAGCTCTGGTGTAGAACAGTCGTCTTACAGCTTTCTCTGTAGTTGTCCATTCTCACTGGCAGATTCGGTCCTAGTTTTTTTGTTCCAGTTGGCGAAATGAGATACTCTGATTCCAACCGATGCCGTATGTTAAAATTTCTAACAATCAGTGATACATGTGTAATCATGGTCCATGATATATCTGTTCTATGACGTTTATCCCAGGGAGGAGAGGGACATCTCAAGATTTAGTGGCTCAGATTACATTCCCTTCGCCTTTTAGTCGCGGCTTAAATAGGAAATTTTTAACGTGGATGGAAAAACAATGTTGACAGTATTCAGCTTGTGTAGCTTCGGAGAATAATGGAGTTTGCAGCACGTACACGGCATGTGGGGTCGATGCATAACGTTGTTGGTTGGCATTAATATACTTTAACAGGCTACACACAGTGATTCGAAAATTTGCTTTAATTCTTGTATAATGTGGATACGTTTTCTCTCTTAAGTTGCTCAGTTTTATATTTGCCTCATTAGTATTCATATTTTCGATTATCTAGACTTTCGACAATTCGGACTTTTTAGCCCATTCCTCACAAGTCTGGATAATCGAGGTACTCTTTTGCTCGTCGACAACTTTTTTATACTATAGAAGTGCGCATTACGTGGTATTTCATTCTTTGACTATTGATCCATATTGAGTTCTGTAAGGTAGTAAAATTTCAGTCAAACATTCGAATTTCATCTTTACGATACTTTGGAACCATTGGCCAGAGCAACAAAAACGTTCCTGACGTGCACGAGCAATATTTAATGACGACTTGCAATAATATACCCATTGAGTGTCGTTAAACCAAAACCAAAGTAATAAAACGACCAATTGAAGCTAAGGAGTACACCACAAGACGTCGATGAAAACTCCAAGAAAAAACCAGACAGCCTTTAGTGTGGGAAAACCCAGATGACCTGGTTGCCACTGGTCTTTAGATCTGCATCTGATTGGTTGAAAGGGTGGCGCGAATTTTCTGGACTAATCACAGAGCGAAGCAAAGAAAATTAAAACAATCTCAGATTACTTTAGCCACTTAGTTGAAAATTGCCCCATACATATGCCAATGTTGCCAACGCTATAGCGTCGAACCTTTCGCTGGACGATGAAAAAAATATAAAAGACGGTGAACTTCTTGATTTCTTTCTGAAAAAAGTGCAAAAAGGGGTAAAGAATGAGGTGCAAACCTTTTTGTCACGTTATATGAGAACGGATCAAAAGAAGGAAAGAAGTCCCGATACTGATAATTGTCTATCGAAGCAACTTATAGACGCTCTCGATGAGGGCAATGTCTTTAAAATCTGGAGACTCATTGTCGAGATGGAAGAAAAAGAGGAGCATAAGGCAATTGGAACGTCAAGTGCTATGTTTAACGATATCGTGGAAGAGGAGAATATGAAAGACAATATAATGGGTTCAGCTTTGAGCGCATATATCGACCTTTGAAGAGGTTGTATACATTTTTAAAAGGATCGATAATGGGCTGTGGTGGGAAGCTCATCGCTGAGGAAGAAAAGGAGAACCCTAAAAGTAGGCATGGATTAAGATACCGAGCAATCCGAGTTACATCGGTCTGGAATGGTTGTGGAGAAATAAACCTCATTCTCCTTGTAACATAAGAAAAGAAAGCAAAAAAGTTAACTCTACAGCTGTTGTTACACAACAAGAATCTGATGGTACACCCTTGGTCATTGTGGCTTCCGATAATCATTCCACAAACAGTGGAGATGAAAACAAAAATCGCACAGAGGAACGCGAGAAGAAGAAGAGGAAGTTTGAAGGCGTCGTTGAAGCTGCCCTCTTTGATGCCTGCCTCTTGATGAAAAGGAGCTTTTTACGAGTACCACCTGAATAGAGATGAATACTTGAAATGTGCGACAAAATGTGAGAAAATTGCTGTTGATGTTGTCGCTAAGATGGATTGTTTTGTTATACATGTCGTGTCTGCATTTGCGCAGTCAATGCTGTAGCAACAAGAGAATATCCGATGATATTCTCATGTGTAGCAATAATGAAATTATCCTTATCAAGAAGACTATTAATCCAGTGGTCAGTTGGTTGCCTTTCGATGCAAGAGACGGTTTGCTTGCATTGACCCTCTTAGAGACGCCTCTGTTTTCGTTTTAATGTAAAGCATACATTTTGTAAGTATTTGGCTACCTTTCTTTTTAAAATATGTTTTCAAGGTTAAAGTTGCTTAAAAGAGGATAAATATGTAACACTATACCACCGCACGAGAAGTTCTAAATCCATACTATTACAACTTTTACCCGCAATATAAAATCATGCCCAATAGAGAAATTTTAAAATTACATACGTACACGGCGAATGGATGGGAAAGTTGTTGATAACTGGTTCTTGTGAATGAAAGTGATCCTCGCAGTAATGCACACTACTTGAGCAGTATTGGAAATAAGGCCTGAAAAAAAATTCAGGCGTGTACGGGATTTGAACCCATGCCCTCTGCGATACCGGTACAGCGCCTGAATTTTTTTTTCAGGCCTTATTTTCACTACTGCTCAAGTAGTGTGCATTACTGCGAGGATCACTTTCATTCACGTCTTTATCCGCAGTTCAAATATATGACTTTCATATATTCTTAGCCGATAACTGGTTCTGTTGTCCCGTTTGCTAAGCTCCATCTTGGAGGCGACGTAGTGAGAACAGATCTTGGCCATACCTGTGGAAAATGCAACGTAAAGAAGAAGAAAAATGAAAGGAACTTTAGGACATCTCTCAGCATCCTATAGAGGAAAAGCTGCAAGGGACCAAGCACTGAACTGGCTTAGAAAAAGTGTGCCAAGTGAAAAAAAGGCCAGAATGGAGGCGCTGGAATATATAGCATCAGCCGCGGTAGATGCAATTTTTTCAGGCTTTCATTTTTAATTATAGCCCCATTCCATTAACCACACAGTGTATGACAGCAGAAATAAAAAGACGATTAGTGTGTCTACAACATTCCATCATTTTGAAAAGTAGATCGACCATCCTTGGTTGCAACGTTTCACGACTTCCTGTAGAGTAGCCCGATGTCGTAAGAAATAACGGCCTGTGGATAGCTTCAAACGACTCAGTTAACCTAAATGGGATTTGTTTTAGTTTTCTCCTCGCAGTTTGGTTTTGAATATTTATTTCAAGTGTATTTTTAACTCACCCACTTAAGTGCGCAAATGTCAAACGTTGAAACATGTTGGCCCAGGTCTTAATTAAACATCATTGCCTTTTTTATCCACGAACATCTATTATTGTGTTTGTTGTTTTAATTATGAAAACATTTATATTGGATATATTTATGCATTACCTTCAGCGCTTGAATCGGGCTGGTTAAACAGATGCTCGATTCACCAGAAGGGTTCGTTAATCCATTGAGCCGCCATAAAACGGCATTTTTCGGATTAACTATAGTCTCTCCTTTCGCAAATAGAAAATTTGACCATTGAGTTGACCAGTTTTGGGTGTGACTGTTGTCTTCGCAAACATTGAAAGCAATCTTTTGATAATAATTTTCTTACCAATCCACGTCAAAACTCCCCAACCGGTTCCATTCGAGGCATAAATCAAGCACAGAAAGGTCACGGACGACATGACATGATTGATGAACTTCGAGTAGGGATGCTCAAACAGCTTTCTGAACTTCCACCAGCAGGGCTTCTCAACGCAGGTGGCAAATTTAGGGCATATTTAAATGAAAATGTAGCCGATACTTGTTGTGATGACAAGAATAAGTTGGAGGCAGAACCAGAGCGTTTTTATCAGCATTCTTTTATCTCGCCATTCTGAACTGTCATAGTAGATGACCTTGTCGAGGATAATTGACATTTTAGGCTCGTCACAAACTGAAAGACAAAGGGATTCAAAACAAAGGACTATTATACAGTAAAAGGCTGGAAGACTAATCAAAGTAAACGACTACTCTTGTCTAATTCAAACCAGACAATGCAGTAGCAACGCGGAATATTTGTCAACTTAAGCTTTGAATCTACAGTGGTCAGTTCCTATTAATCTCTCAAAATGCTTTAATGACTTATATTTTCCAATTTTTTATGCATTTCAGCCATCTTTTTATGATTTCATTACATTTTTTGTTAGCTTTTTGTCTTCTCAGAGCTCGAGTGAGATGTTTGCATTCCGATATAACTAAGGAAACAATGGACATTTTTTGGTCGTCAAAAAAATTCAGATCATTCCTAAGCTGAGTTGGAGTGTGTACATGTACATCTTTTAGTCACTGAATTTTTCAGAGAATGACATTTCCATACACATTCAAGACTAAACCAACCTTCTTCCATTTCTTACCTGTAGCTATCTTTTAGAAGACTTAAACTGTGAATAAATTCTTTGGGCGTTTTTTTTTAGTAATAGGCCGTTTCAGAGTTCCAATCAATTTTTCTTTCAAAGAAAGGCTATGAGCAAAGGGTCTCTTGTGAATAAAGGGGGTAAGTTGCTGAAGAAACTGTGGTGCTGCGTCAGTGGGTTAGTATAACAGGACAATTTGGTATTATCAAATGAATTGATAACGCAAATTGGCCACCGTTTGGAGTTTCAAAGCTGACGTTCCGAGCGTTAGCCCTTCGTCGGTGCGGAGGAAGAGCTCTGACGAAGGGCTAACACTCGAAACGTCAGCTTTGAAACTCTGGTTTCAGTGGCCAATTTACGTTAACAACTCAGTAGATAATGCCGAATTATCTTTCTTGTGAAGACTACTTTTGTTCGCATGAAAAAAAAAATTCATTTCTGCACAGTCGCCCTCCTTTTAAAGCATAGGCTTAAGGCATCTCGAAAATAGTCCATTTTGATGTGATGCGGTAACTGAACAGGAAAGTAAAGTCGGTAATTTAGTGTTAACAACTGAGTTGAAAACGTAAATTAGCCGCCGTAAAGGGTAAAAAAGCTGACTTTTCGAGCGTTAGCCCTTCGCCAATCGCTCTAACGCTCGAAACGTCAGCTTTTTTATCCTTTACGGTAGCTAATTTACGTTTTCAACTCAGTTGTTAACACTAAATTACCTGCTATACTCTTCCACCGACGCAGAACAAATAGTCATAGACATAATTTTTTTGCTGTAGTTAGTTTTGTTGTGCCCCATGGGCAGATATTTGAACGAAACAATCTTCAAAAATTCAAAAGACTGGGGTGGACGTTGAAGCTTCGAATTAATCGACGCATAAGTTCAACAAACGAGTGGCGTTAACCGAAATAGTTCGTCTCCTTGTGCGATTTGACTCTGCCAAGTTATGACAGCTATGGGTAAGCCGAAAAGTTCGAATATTTTTTGTAAGTTGGTTGGGGAAGGGGTTAGGGTGTACGTACTTCGTGTTCTTCGCGCTAAAATCCTAATGGAATCTGAATACGTGCTAAATATCCATGATCGGTTTTCTTGTTAAAATGACAATCTTAGAAGGTGCTTCAAGAGGACTCTCGCTGTTACTTTAAAAGTTGTGCAATGTACTCTGGTGATTAGGTGCAATTTTTGGGATTCCTCACCGTATTTCTCTCTCCATATTAAGTTGAAAGCTGTACTCTGCCCACAGCGATTGCCATGAAGCAGAGGAATTTGGTAACAATGGTCTAATGGGTTTGCCCTTTTTTCTATTTTTTTTTTATTTTTTATTATCGGTATCTCTATCCGCAGTCGCGGCAGTCAATGTTTTCTTAGACTGGTGAATGACGAGTTCGATATGCTTTGTCTAACCTTTTCCCCAGGATAAAGTGCTTCCTTCTTGGTCTATCATCGCGATACAGCCGTCGACAGAAATCTAAGATCCTTTCATTTGGTACCTACTCCTAAACCTGAGTAACACGGCTTTAGCTTGCCTTGCTCGTAAACTCATTTTTCAGGGATTTAATCGAAGCTGAAGCAGTTCGGTAACTTCGGAGTCAAATTACATGTTACAACATTTTGTGTTTCATGACGCCAACAACAATGACAGGAACAACTATTTTGACATTTATCACGCGACCCAAGTATGCAGAAATTTAGTCATTTAGTGGTTGGCTTTCATACAGTCTTGAAAAAATCGTTGTTTCCAGGTGACACTGGAATCACCATTCATGATACGTGAAAATGAGAAGCTCTGGGACGAGAATGTGTGGACAAATAACGCTGCCCTGCTGTCCATATTTCCACGAATTCTCTTCTTGAAAGCCCCCAACAATTCAAGTTAAAGCATAATCAAGTATGCCCCTAGGAGGTGAAGGTAGCTTTGAATCATTTCTTGAAGAATTATGGAAAGAGAGTGGACAGAGAGAGGCAGAACATGCCTTGAATTCGGATGAGGCTGTAAAGCAGGAAGAAACTAAAGGAAGCTGCTGCAAGAAACTGTTTGACACCATTGAAGAGGGCGACCCACAAGAGGTCTACGAACTTCTAAAGAGTGGAGAATTTGAAAATGTACCGCATCTTAAGGACTTAAATGAAGTTTCCAAATCCATTGCCGGCACGGAGGGAAAAAAAGATTGCTTCTGTAAGTTTATCTGCTCAGAATTGAAGGACTTCTGCAAGAACCCCCGCAAGAACAACGGAAAGGAAGATTTGCCAAGCGAAGAAGATCGATTAAACCTGGAAATTCGAAGCAACCCACTGTTCTTAAGTCTAGAATGGCTGTGGAGGAATAATCCAGAGTCTTCTCAGCGCGAGGAAAACGAGAAAGGTAAGGACAGGAATTTTGAAGACGTAACTGAACCAGCTCATGATGATGCTTTTTCACTGGAGAAAATGGCACCGCACAAAAATCACGTCAGCCATGATAAATACATAGATCGTGAAGAGGAATGTGAAAAGCCTGCCATCGACAACGTTGAGCAAGTAAACGACAAAAAAGAACTGCTGCACAAAGACATGGACATCGAGATGAAAGCGCGAGGAAAGCGAGAGAAAGGCAAGGAGAGTAAGCTTAAAGACGTAATTGAAGCAGCTCTTGATGATGCTTTTCTACTGGAGAAAATGGCTTCGTACGAAAATCCCTTCAGCCATGATAAATACATGGATCATGCAGAGGAACGTGAAAAATTTGCCATCGACATCATTGAGCAAGTAAACGGCAACAAAGAGTCGCTGCACATAGTCATGGATATCGACGGAGAAGGAGCTTTGGTGAAGAACAAGTCCGATAATTTTATTTGTAGCTTGAGTCTGCTCAAGATGGCTGCTAATAAAGAACGCAAAATGGTGAGTGAGTGGTAGGTTGGTAAGTGTAATTTATAAAGGGGGTAACAAGGTAATTTGGTATTATCAACTGAGTTGATAACATAAATTGGCTACCGTTAAGAGGTTAAAAGCTGACGTGTCGAGCGTTCGCCCTGCGTTAGCCCTTCGCCATTCGCTAACGCTCGAAACGTCAGCTTTAAAATTCTTTACTGAGACCAATTTACGTTACCAACTCAGTTAATAATACCAAATGACCTCGTTTATAAGTCGTCCAGGCTCCGCTTGAAAGTGAAATTGATTTTTCTCAGGCTTTCATCTGCACTCATAAAGGTAAAATATGACAAAAACTTAATCTTGTATTTTCTTGACAACCAAAAAACGTTTAACGATAATAGAGACATCAGGCATTCCGAGAAATCGAATTCTCGGAAAACGAAATGAAGAACAAGACGACAGCGAGGCCAGTAATGATATGATTTACAAGATGACGATGCTGTTAAGCCCATAAAAGGATTCCAAAATATTGAAAAAATAATTAAAACCGTCGTAGGTAAATGCAGGAGCCAATTCAACACAGCAAAAACAATTCCCGTAGCCGTGGTTTACAATTTATAACGCACTTCGCCTTCAAAATAATGTACAGAATTTAGGCAAGTGAAAATAGGGTAAGGGAAGTACAATCACTTCGCTTATTATGTAATTTAACTGTCAGAAAACAACGCTTTTCGTCTTGTGAGTGTTACTGAAGTCGGTCAGCCTGCGTTTCTGAGGATGCCAATTCGAACTCGCTTTCCTCTCTAAGAATTTTAATGGATCAAGTTGGCTTGGTCAAACACAGGAAACATTATCACACACCCAATAATTAAACTTAGTACCTGTTTCTGACAGCTGTCAATCACAGTGTTCGGAATGCGTACGCGCTCTAAAAGAAAAAAGGAAGGTTTTTTCTGTAGTCGAGTATCGTCTTGCATGTTGATTAAATATCGTTGTGTTTACTAACCCTAAGCAAAGTTTCAGTGTTTATTTAAGTATAAACACCACATCTGGCGACAAGGATCAAGCATAGAACAAACAGAGAGCACTCCAAAAGCATCTGAAGGGATTTTCGAAGCGATTTCCAAAGAGGTTTCCGAAGCATTTTCTCGCACAAACATAACAGCGATTTCTCTACCAAACTTCCCACCGTTTGAAGTTCACCTCGTAGGAAATGCAGGCTTGAGATGGAAGAAATGGCCAGGATGATTCCAGAGACTAACCATTGGAATGGGAATTTCCAATGACAAGCAAAATAGAGCCCTCTTGCTGCACTACGGCGGTCCAAAGGTTGACGAGATCTTCGATAAGGTTCAAGACGTCGGTGAAGACAAAGATTACAAAAAGGCCGTCGAGAAACTAACCCCTCACTTCTCTCCGCAAGTCAACGTAACGTATGAAGTGTACAATTTCCGGCAGGCCAAGTAAAAGGATGTAGAAACCATCGACTGTTTCCACACACGTCTGAGAAGCCTAGCGAAGACCTGCGATTTCGCAAATGCAGACAAAGAAATCAAAGAGCAGATCATCTTCAACTGTAAGTCTAATTCCCTACGACGCAAAGCTCTACGAGAAGACTTCGACTTATCTAGCCCCATGAAAGCTGGTAGAGCCTTAGAATTAAGCGAAATACAAGCAAAGGAGTTCGAGAATCTCCGTCAAAGCGTGGGCGCGGTAAAGTGTAACAAGAAAGGAAACTAAACACATCTCAAAGGGAAACAGCGCCATCAATAAAATCGGCAGGAGTCACGCACTCGCTACGAGTCACACAATCTCAGCAACTCCCGAAAAGACGATGGTAAATGTAGAACTGTGGTGGACCATACCCTCACAAAGACTCATGCCCTGCGAAAAAAAAGAAGTGTAAATCCTATGGCAAACTAAACCATTTTGCCCGTGTTTGCAGAAATCCATTTGAGTCACCAAATCCACCTGAGTTAGCAAACGCGTCACGTTTGAAGACACGGCTGAAAATGACGAATACGTTTACACGATAGGTGATGACAAGCAACCAACTTGCAAAGTCAAGACCGATGGAAAACAAATGGAAATGATGGTCGACTCCGGCGCATCGGTCGATTTAATGGACGAAAGAACTTTCAAGGAGTTATACAAAGGGAAGGTACCAGAAGTCACCAAGCGCAGAATTTTCCCCTACGGATCATCCACACCTCTACCTGATCTGGGAACTATTGAGGCCGAAATATTCGCTAACGCCAACGGCACATGGACAACCCTGCATGTCATCAAAGGTGCTTCAGGAAATCTCCTGGGTATCAACACCGCTACAAAACTTAGCGTGCTCAAGATCATCAACCAAGTCAAACCTGACGAGACCAGTCCCCGGTCCCCCGTCAACGGAGATTTAGAAAGCGTGCTTGGTGGAATCGGCAAAGTCATCAAGCTTCACATAAACCCTGACTTCATACCCAAGCAACAACCGCACCGTCGAATTCCCTTCTATGTCAGAAAGGATGTCGAGATGGAGTTAAAGGGATCCGAAGAGCTAGACATCGTTGAGATCGTGACAGGCCCAACGCCCTGGGTGAGCCCCATTGTCATAGTCCCCAAGAGCTCTGGTCTTGTGGGAATATGTGTAGACATGCGAGAGGCCAACATGGCTGTTAAACGAGAAAAACACCTGTGTCGACCGTAGACGATCGGGTTGCTGACCTCAACGGAGCTGGCACCAGAGAGCCGCTACATTACCGCACACACGTCGGACTCCGAAGATACAAGCGCCTCGTGTTTGGAATTAACGCAGCATCTGAGATCTTTCAGAACGCAATCAATTAAATACTCTCAGGCCTCTCTGGATGCAAGAATATCTGCGATGGAAAATCTCAGAAGAAACATAATGAGAACCTCCGTGACGTACTGGAACGGCTCCAGCAACATGGCGTGCGCCTGAAAAAGGAGAAATGCGCCTTCTCGAGGAGTGAGATCAAGTTCTACGGACAGATTTTCAGCAAGATCGGAGTCAAGGCAGACCCAGCCAAGATCAAGGCGATCATTGTCATGAACAAACCAGAAGGTGTCAGCGATGTGAAGTCCCTACTGGGGATGGCTCAATACGTGTCCCGTTACATCCCAGACTATGCCACAATAACTGCTCCTCTACGGCTGTTAACCAAGAAAGACATGTCATGCCAGTGGGCTGACGAACAGTAACAAGCATTCGACAAGTTGAAAGATAGCATGACCAAGAATCACGTGATGTCATACTTTAACCCAAGACTCAGGACTGAAGTGATAGTCGAGGATTTTTTTGGTGAACGATGGTTCCAACTTAAAAGTTATCAGTGAGCACTCAGTGACGTTGAGAGCAGATATTCTCAAACCGAGAGGGAAATGCTGGGAGTACTCTGGGCAGTCGAACATTTTCATCTTTACTTGTATGGATGAGAGTTCGTCATTGCCACAGACCACAAGCCACTCCTGGGAATCTTAAACAGTCACAAGCCAACGTTAGCGCGTATCGACAGATGGAAGCTGAGGCTCATGCCCTACAACTATCAACTCGTCTACCGACCCGGCAAAGACACTGGGAATCCAGCCGATTTTATGAGCCGCCATCCATGTAACAAAGACAGAGAGGAGTGCATCATTGCAGAAGATTATACGAACTGGGTATGCAACCAGGCAATGCCAAAAGACGTTGCAAGAAATCAAGTTAGACTCGGAGAAGGACATTTCGCTCCAAGCACTTATCGAGGCCGTCGAGACTGACCAGTGGACACATCCCGAAGTACAGGAGTACAGAAATGTGAAAGATGAACTGTTGGTCCACCAAGGAACTTTACTGAGGGGAAACAGGATCGTAGTTCCGAAAGCGCTAGGAGACAGAGCCGTGGACCTTGCTCCGGGCACCAAGGAAACACGAAAACAACACGCTTCATCAGAGAAAAAGTTTGGTTTCCCGGTGTAGACTAGGTGGTTAAGGAGAAAGTCAACAACTGTTTACCATGCCAAGCAGAAACTACTAGCAAGGTAGAACGACTCGAACCCCTAAGGATGACACCGCTACCAAACGCTCATGGAAAGAACTCGCGTTGGACTTTCTAGGACCACTCCCTTCTGGAGAGTAACTCATGGCCGTCGAAGACGAATACAGCCGTTTCCCAGAAGTTGAAATTGTCACCTCCATTTCTGCTGGATCCACCATCTCGACGCTCGACGCAATTTTTGTTAGACAAGGAATTCCTGACGTCTTAAATAGTGACAATGGAGCCTCCTTTAATGGCATGGAGTTCAAGAACTTTGCTTAACATCTGGGTTTTCACCACTGCAAAATCACGCCTCTTTGGACAAGGGCAAATGGCGAAGTGGAACGTTTCATGAAGACACTAGAGAAATGCGTGAGAGCCGCTACCGTTAGGCACAAGAACTGGAAACAAGGACTCTATAAGTTTTTACTACAGTATCGAGCCGCAGCGACACCTCACTCGACCACTGACATCTTACCGTGTGAAGCACTTAAGATAATAATAACCAGTATTTATATAGCGCACATATCAAAAACAACTCTCATGGATTAACTAGAGGAAGCTTAAGACTTCTCTACCAGAAGTGACACCACCAGTTCTTTAGAAACAGAAGAAAATGACAGATAGGGATGCAGAACAGAAGATGAAGATGAAGATGAAAACATATGCAGACCAAAAGTTAGGAGTAAGAGAGACACAGTTCTAATCAAGCTACCAAAACGCAACAAGCTAAGCCCCCCGTTCAGTCCAGTACCTCTCGTGGTTTAAGAAAAAAACGGATCTATGGTTACGGCAAGCGATTGGAACAAAACTCACGCGGAACTCATCCATGTTCAAAGTTACCCCGAGCCACATTCGGCATGCTTAAAAGATAACACAAGAGCAGGCAGACAAAGATTTAACAGCAGGACCCTGGTCACCAGAACTTTCGGAACTAGACAAGTCATCAAGTTCTCCAAGTCCAACTTATACAATTGAACTTTGAGACAATTAAACACCTTCCAGTTTATCGTTTTTAGCTATTAGATAAAGGGGTGAGTTTCTAAAGAAACTGTGGTGCTGCGTCGGTGGGAGAGTATAGCAGGTAATTTAGTGGGGTTGAAAACCGTTTTACCCTTTACGGTGGCTAATTTTCGTTTTCAACCCAGTTGTTAACACTTAATTACCTTTTTAGCTATTAGAGATACGTTGTTTAAGTCGATCTTTTAGACATACACGTATCTAAAAGTTTATAATCAAAAAGGGGAGAGATGTAGTGTTTCTGACAGCTGCCAATCACAGTGTTTGGAATGCACACGCGCTCCAAAAGAAAAAAGGAGTTTTTCTGTAGTCGGGTATCGTCTTGCATGTTGATTAAATATCGTTGTGTTAAACAAACACTGAAACTTTGGATGCAAGTTGCCAAAGACTCAGTGTTTGTATAAGCATAAACACCACCCTGACTACGAAATAAAAAGGAATACCTCTTTAAAACAAAATTTTGGCTCACCATGAAGAATTTTGGGCCGGAATTTTCGATTTTAATTTGCGAAAGTAAGGAGTTTATCTATTATTTAACTCATTATCTATGCAGGATCTAACTCATATACCGGAAACATTAGACGTATTTGACATAGAGTAAAAGACAGGGAAAGGAAAATGACAATTCGAAGATTTAACGTCTCTCAATTTCAACGGTGTGACTGAATAATAGATCATTCCTCATAATTTCGTGAGGTACACACCATTTATTTGTTAATTTTCGGTCGTTCCCGGCTCTTCGCCTCTATGCATTCTAAGATGATCACCCCGAACACTTTTAAGGGTGGCGCCGGTTCGAAATTTCAGCAATTTTACACGACAGCAGTGCTAAAAACGCATTAAACTACTTTGGTCAGGTAGCGCCAGACTCTCTCACAAAGAGGACGCGAGACGCAAAGGCAAATTTAAACCTTTTTCGGTTTATTTTGACGGCATTAACCTTGGACGAAACCTCACTTGCAAACATTAAATTAACCTCGATCGGAATAAGAGAACGGCTGAATATAAAATTGAATTTTATTGCAAATCTAAAGTGGTATGTTTTTTCCAAGATCTGTCTTGCCTTCAATATCGAACAACCAAGCGATTCTCTAACCTGTTGATGATACTGGATCTCGGCATCGATTCAGGGAAGTGGGTTTTCTCATAATAACCTAACATTTCTCCAACACTTGCCAATCATTGTCTATCGTCTAGCAAGGACAAACATTAGAATTATTTCACGCCTTCTTTTGTACAAAGCCACTCGCATGGAATTTTATTTTAACGCAGTTTAACTTTGGTGCTACTTGATTTTCAGTTTGTGGCAAGCCCTAACTGTCAATTTGTTCTTGACGAAGTCATCTACCACGGAAATCCTGGTTGGCGAAATAGGGGAATCGGGATTAAAGCAGTCTGGTGCTTGTTTCAACTTTTACTCGTCAGCCTCTTGACTATCCCCCTTTACATCCCACTTAAGTTAACTCGCAAGAATTTCCCGTGCTGTGTATTTGATTGCCACAAGCTGATAATGCTGTATGAGCATCCTTACTCGAAGTTCCTTAACCACACCATGTCATACATGATATTTCTGGCTTTAATCTTTGGTTCATCGTTTGAGTACAAGTATGGACCTGGTGGAGCAGGCCTTACGTGGATTGGTAAGTTTATTCCACTTGAATAATCCATTTCAAATCTTGGCTTCTTTAAAGGGCAAAACGGAAACTTGTGTAAGATATATTTTATTTTAATAGTTAGTCGTCACGAAAAATCCATGTAAGCACTATAAGAGGAAATTTCTTAACACAAAGTCGTGATTTTATCTTGCCACTTCCCACCAATAAAATCCAGAAGAATTTGAGTACTTTTGAATCCAACTGTTTCAGAGCCCAAATATTGTAAATTAGTATGAAGATACATCGAAAACTTCAGTAATTAGGTTCAGAGAACCATTTCCTTAGAAACATAAAAATCGTTGTGACACAAATTGTAGGTAGATGGGAAAATAAGGCTCGGCCCTTCATGACTTACAATTTAAATGCACCTATTTTTCTAACACTTGACAAATATTAAGTAAATAAATCATCAACCTTTATGCGGCTGGCATGTCAGCTGATAATGTCCACGGCTGGTGTATTTTCTAAAAAATGACTATTTGGCCGAGGAGAGAAGCTACGAGGGCAATCCCTCAGCCTAGGACATTCTCAGAAGATATAACGGCGAGCCAGAAGAGGGTTTATTTACTTTTTAACCCTCTCGTTAATTTTTGTACCGCGAGTTGACACCAAATTTTGTTGACTTTTTGTACTTTTCAAAATAGCATTTGAGTCAGCTTTTTAATGTCACTATCACTGGACTCTACGGTTCGTTTTTTCCATCCATGAACCGTAATAAAAATGAAAAAGTGAAACCCCTGAGCTGGCTTTTTCCGTTGCCTGTGTTCATTTTCGACGGAAATAATCGGAGCACAAATATTGATGTAAACGGGGGTTTTTTGCGTGATAACTGCCTCGTGATTTTGTACCACGTGACAAAAATAAGCCAATAGAATCAGTCGAAAATAAATTAGTGGGCTATAATTAACAATTAATTGCTGAGGGTAAAGTAAGATTGTCGAGGGGATTTTTCAACTATATTCAATGAGTATGAAGCGATTAATTGTCTAGTATAATTGTTCAAGTGCTTCAGAATTATGTTGTAATTCGTTTTGCTGTTGAAACCATCCTGTAAAAATTGTTTAGAGTCCTCGTATAGAGATAAGCAACCAGTTTACATTAGAATTTAACAGGTTTATTTTGTTCAATCAGGAAAAACTCCATATCTTTCTTTTGAAAAGAGTTAAGCCAAACTTAATGGTATTTTTTGTGCTCCTCACAATTATATTTTCTTCTATCATGTTTATCACTTCCGTCGTAACTTTGACAAAACGCGAGGGAGCCGTTTTGAAAATTATGGGCCCCTGCTATAATCACCTCGCGCGAGGTGATTAAGGTGAGATATTGCGCAATCCTAAAGCCATTGGAGTGCGTGCATTTCTATACACACCTGAGCAGTTATACTACACAGAAATATCCGTAAGCGCCATCATAACAGGTGAGCTACAACGCTTGCCTGTTGTTTTCATACCTGACAAGATCTAGGGGACATATTCAGAAGAGGGCTGTTGCGGAGTGCAATCATTTCGGAGTTTGCAATTAATCCTTGTTAATAGGTAAACAGTGAGACTACATGAGCTTTACTTATAACTTGATTACTTACTCCCACCCACAGATTTGGCTATAATGCACTTCGTCCTCGGCCTACTCATACAGGAAATCGTGGAAGCCTGGAGGCAAGGTGCTTTCATTTACTTCTCAAAGTGGTGGAATGTTGTTGATACAGTGATTATCCTCACATTCATAGGGGCCTACGGTCTATGGTTAATCGCGTGGGGCATTTACGGAGAGTGGAAGCCTGAAAAAAAAGTTTTCATCTATGCAGATGGCATTTATGCCAGTGCCTGCGTCGTGGCCTATTTTCATTTGGCACACTTTTTCCAGGTCAATTCAACGCTGGGTCCCTTACAGCTGTCACTTTACAAAATGCTGAGAGATGTCCTTAAGTTTCTTGCCATCTTTCTCCTTCTCTACTTTGCGTTTGCGACTGGGGTGGCCAAGATTTACTCGTATTATGTTGCCTCTCAAATAGAGCTCCAAAAGCGTGACACTAAAACCACTGACCACCAAGTTTTTCATCCATTTGCTTTGTGAGTATTCCAGAATATCTTTGAATTTTTCTCAGGGGTCGTTGTCGAGCTAGGTTTCGGTTTCAAACTATTACTGAACACTATTTTGCTTCGTGCTTAAAATTTATTTTAATAACATGTTTCCATGATTGAAAAACTTGAAATATTTCCCAAAATACTGGGTATTTTCATTCCCCCACTACCTTTTAACTCTCCTTTGCGAACTAAGAGACGATCACAGACGATCGAGAGAAACTGGAACTGACGACACCTTTTACATATATTTCAAAGTTGTTCGCCCGTTGCAAAAATTTGATTAGTCATGAACTCATATTGATCGCAGAGCCTAGTCCATGGCTATAACATTAGTTTCCATAAAAAAATTGAGATAACTTTTCGTTCTCACACCTTTTTTCAGACATGCCAACACTTTCATTGTCTTGTTTTGGTTGCTGTTTGGTGGTGGTGGACAGGAGGAGAGCATTTCAGTGCAGGATCAAGACTTCATGCTCATTACCAAGTTTGGTCGAGTATTTATGGGAGCCTACGTCATATGCACCATCCTTGTTGCCCTCAACATGCTGATTGCTATGATGAACGACTCATTCCATAAAATCAAGGTAATTTTAAAGGGTTATTTTGGTGCTAAGTTATTCTACAAACAAACCAGAGACAAAAGCTGAAAAGTTAACGCAAAAAAACTGACAAAAGTTAAGGTGTCTCTGCAATCACAGTACAAGCTTCTTTTAAAAGTTGATTTGTTCTTATTAACTGTTCTGAGTTGATGACATAAATTGCTGACCGTAACGAGTTTCTAAAGCTGACGTCTCGAGCGTTATTATCTCTTTGTTAGCGAGAAAAGACGAAGGGTACTGTGACGTAAAGCTGACGTTCGGAAAGTCAACCGTAGAAACTTTCTAGATGACCATTATACATTATCAGCTCAGATAATAAAAACCGAATTTATTCATTATTTATTTTTTAACGTAGCAAAACGATCACCATGGCAATGCAGACTAAATATTAGAAAAAGATGATCGCCGAAATCGTTTCAGAGTCACATGCAAAAGAGATGATTACGTTTAAAATGCCAGGTACCGGTTCCACTAAACAACCATAGGACACCCCTCTTTCCCCTGCTATAAATTAACAACGCTAAGAAACAAGTCTGACGATAACCCCCGCTGCAAGCTTTAGTTAGGGAAATTTCCCCAACTTCACATTGAAATCACCAACCACTGAGCTCTAGTCTCTGTACATGATGCAAGTTGTTGTCTGTTTTTTCAATGCTCATTTATACGTAACATATGCGCTTTTTCTCAGAAAAACGCTGTTCTAGAGTGGAAATTCTCAAGAACTCAAATGTGGCTGGAATGGATCGACAAAGGCAACTCTGTTCCGGTTCCATTCAATATTCCATATGTCGTTCTGCACCTTTTCTTTTGGTTTTGCTGCGGCTGTCGTGAATCACTGTGTTTCAAATGCGAAGTGGTACGAAATTTAATTTTAAACTTCACCACCTCGATTTTACTCTTCTTTTAATGATCCAAATTAATGTCCTGTGAGGTCTAATTTTGGCATCCAGCGTTTGAGCGTGCAGAGAACCGACTAGTTCAATTGGCAGGTTGAAATCGTTTGTCTAAACATTTAGAGCACGCAATAAGTAGTGCATAGTTAGCAAAATCTTTAACACTCATTTCCAATTTAAAATGTTATCCTGGTGAAGAAATAAATCTAATATTTGTAAAAAAAAAAATTTAAGTTAGAAAATCGAGAAAAATTAAGAGATTTTGCGATGATTTGGATGCTCATTTGATGGTGAATAATATCCATTGTTGGTTAACTCGAATTCAAGCGTCAGCGTGCGTTCAGTCTTACTACAATTTGACGTCATTTAAGATCCATAACTGAAAAGACGTAGGTCAAGTGGAATCTATTTGTTAACCATAGACGTGAATTTATTACTCTTTTTAATAAAAACAGAATGAAGAAAAAAACACATGCTGCCGCGAGAGCGAAGTCTCAAGAGAAGGTATTCCTGGATGCAATTTTGAACGATGTGACGGCAGTAAGGACTCAGAAACTTTCGATAAGAAGGTACCCTTAACAATTTTTTGTACATTTATTTATTTGGAAATATTTCTGAAGGTGTAACATATCGTTAAGTAACCACAGTTCGCTGTAATAAAAGAATAACATAACTCTAGTTTGAAAAATTCAGAGACTGATTAAACTAATTAACTGACTCAGAGCTAACCAATCGACGTTCACGAAATGAACTCTTCACTTGGGTGGGATTTGTCACTAAATTAACAAAAAAAATTCTATTTGGGGCAAAAATATGCATGGATATTTGTACGCAATCAATAATTATTCCGACAGATCGAGTAATTTAAGGAACAGATCTAGATGTCCCACGACAGCTATACGACCATATTTTGGAGCCGAAAAGATCCTTCCGTGTTCATCAGCCTTCAAGTATTTTTTTTATTGTTACTTTTTGAGCGGGACAAAAAGGTTGGTGTCAAACACTTGTAAAGCGTGGGAAGTGGATATTTGATGGATTATAAATGAAATTGACAAATTTTCAACGAAATGGGGGTAAACGCGGTAGACATTTACCGAGCTGCAAAGCTGCGAGGTAATATCCACCACTTCTACCGACACTGGGGTAAATAATTGTTTTAGTATATACCACACAGAAACCAAAACAATACTTTATATCTCCCTATATACCTAAAAATATTAACCTAACCCTTGACGCGCGATTTTGCTTATTTGGCTGTTCCGAGTTGAATGGTACTTGCTAATTACCTCCGAACTAGCCAATCAGCGCGCTCGAAAAGCACTATTCGGCGAATATTTGAATCGAGGGAGTAGAAGATAATTTTCTTTAGTCTCCACTTTATCTAACTGAGGATCAGAAGGAAAGTAAGGACCTTTAAAGCAAACGATGGTTTAAACTCAAGGCAACCTTGTTCGAAATATTCCTAGTGAAGCCTTAGTAGATGAATGCTGGTTACCACCATGATCAAGATGATTAATGAAGGTATTAGGACCGAGTGGACTACAATTTGGCCTGTAATCATGCGAGTGATTAACAAAATCGGACGACAGCGAAGCGAGAGTCCGATTTGTCAATCACGAGTATGATTATAGACAGAATTGGACGACACAAAGCCTGTTACCAAGTAATCATAACTGTTACAATTTCCGAAAACAACAAATACATTTTGGACAAAATACATACAGAAGAGACAATGTCATAGTAACAAAATTTTTCAACTTTAGAAATTCCACATTTTTTTTTGGGATAAGAAATTGTTGCTATGGTTATCGTGATCAATTCTGTGATTAGTGGATTGACTGAGAGGACTAAGTATGGTTGGCTGCTTCAACTGTCCAGTTACAGGTGTCCGATTACAGTCAACTGTCCGATTACAACTCTACAGAATGATTAGCGAAAAATAAAGCAGTTGATGCACTAGTCACATTTGAAGAGATTTTAATGGTGATGATCATACAATTTATTGGCAAGCTCTTGTGTACTAATACTAGTTCCATTTAATTATTCTTACGTTTCACTCTTGTCAATGAAACAGAAACGCCTTGAAGAATTGAAAACTTTGGTCGTAAAATATCTGATAAAGAACTACGAAGCCAAATGGAATGAATGCAGGGCGGCAACTGCCTGAAGTGACTCTGAAAAGGATCTACCATCGGTGTGCTCAGGCTGAAGATACTCCTTGTTTGCTTAGTTTTGTTTTAAATGTGAATAGACCGATGTTTTACCGTAGTCCATACAGTTTTCGTTTTTTGATGCTAGGTGGTAGTCTTTCTCTATGGCCAGAGTTGACGAATGTACATACTATAGGAAAGCTAGCGAAGATTTAATGATATACAGAGTCGAAAGTTTTCAGGGTAAAAAAAAGTTGAGAGGCCAACTTCAACGTTTTAATAACGGCTATTGCCAACAGAGGTCCCCAAATTTGTAATGACCACAATTGTTAGTTAAAGTTTAATGATTAATTTCAGAAATCAGAAAATTTAAAGAAGTATGCTCTAGATGCAGTTTCAACTCCATCTTCTCCATTCAAAATTATCTATCTTTGCTTGAGTGTTACCACGATGTTAGCTTAAGATTGGCTAAACCACTTAGAAAGACAGGAGGTTTATATATCGGTATTTCGAAATACACCAGGCACTATAACGATTTGACTGATGATTACATACTAAGTTAGATTACCCACGCATTTGATTGGTTTTTTCTTATGATCTTTTGGAGGACAGACGCATAGATGACGTCACCATTAGCAACACCTCCTTTTTTATCATATAAAACAGATAGATTCCATGGTGCCGTAGGTTTATTCTATACGAATAGGGATCTTTAGAAAACCACGATGGCGACGACAATGAGGACGTAGCAAAACAAAAGATTTAATGAGCAGGACAATAACTCAGCACGTGCATTTTAAAACTATGCACATTTCTTAGCCGTTCTCTGCAAAATAACAACGTGAAATCATCAAAATTTGCATGGTCCGAGAAAGGAAACCCCGACGGCAAATTATTTCAGTTTCTATTGGGATCTCAACGCCGCCCTCAAACGTTATGCAGAGGTTAACTTGCGGCGCCGTAAGAGATGGTAAGCACATCCAGTCAGTCGCAAAATTCCAAGTAAAACGTTGACCTCATTTTCAAACAAACGTCTTCCTTGGCGTTGCCGTCCTAACTGCGAAAGGTCCCGAATAGATCACTAAAGACATCAAAATATGGTAAGAGTATCATGAGACTCGGTCGTATTTTTTACGTTCCGTTTAAGGTTCTTATCACAATTTGATGTCATCTGTGATCTATTACTGAATAGAAGCATATGTTAGCGGGATAATGTATGTATATTACGTAAAAGTTACATGTAAATCACTTCTGGGAGTTAAAGGGTTTAACTAATCAAAACTAGAAGCAGATAGCTGAAGATGAGCCAAAGGGAGGCTAGTAGATCCTGACAGGCTGGTATCGCCAGTTTAATCGGAATGTATTCTGTTACTTTTAGTTAACCTGGCTCCTGCTAGTTTTTTTTCTATTCTCAGGCAAGGAGGTGGAGTTTCAGACTCCAAATACTTGTACATAAGGAACGAGTTATTTGGCCAGGTTTATGCCCACAGGTGTTGACTAGCCATTGTTGTCAAGACCTTTTAAATCAAGATCTTTGTTCACGGAGCTTTGAGCCCATACGTCACCTGTTGCGTTTGATGATGACCTGATAAGACAAATGAGTGATGTGCTATGAGCAATCCTTCTTCTTCGGCTGTCGCGCGAGTCCAAAATCTAAGAATAGCTAAGGCCAACTTATGGATAGAGTAATCTAGAAAGGAAACATGTTCGTCAACTTGAAATTAGTAGTCTTGTAGCTAAACTTGCATGGTAAAGATTAAAGTGACTAAAAGAACTCCAAAAAAGTCGCGAGGTTTTTGCGGTCTCGAAAGCTTCCCGAAAGTCACAGAAAAATCCAGAAAGATGGTAACCATCCAACCCCGTAGTACAACATAATTTCCTGCGTTTATGGAATTTCCGTTTGCGAACTTCATCTCTGGTAAACTGTATGTCAGTGTTTCGTCCGTCAGGGTTGTGGTGGGAAGCGTCGATTTCGTCGTGCCGTACGGTGGTAAATGTATCGTCAACGTTGCGTAGCCAAAACGGTACTGTTCGTCGGCAAGTCGATAAGGCGCGTTCCTCAAACATGCAATTTACCAGAGAAGTCGAAAAAAATGGTGAACTTTTTTTTCTCGTCTGCCTCGTAAGCCGTGACGACAACTCACTGCGGACGACAGTTTACAGGAAACAGACTCAAGAAACCCGACATAACACAAAGCCACAGGACTTTCAACTATACGGACTCTAACACGAGTGCAGCTAGTATGCAACATGACAGACAACTTATCCGACGAGAACAAATACCTTTACCGTGTTTTTTTAAAGAACAACTACCGAAAAAAACGAAACCGCAACTCCTACGACTACAGCAATTATACCTTACATAAAGGGCATGTCTGAGAACATCCCGCGCATCCTACAACCCTTCAATATCCGCATCGCCCACAAACCCACCACCACACTTGGCCAGTTATAAACAAACGCCAAACACAAAGAGGAACAGCGCGAGGAACAGACAGGAAGCGGTTTATCAGATCAATTGCTCCGACTGCCACGCCTCCTACGTCGGAGAGACTGGCAGAATCCTCACGACAAGACTGACTGAACACAGGCGAGCGACGAGGAAAGGTGATGTCACCAATCACACCGCTGAACATCATCGACTTACGAACCACACTTTTGACCGAGACTCTGCGTAATGCCTAACCTAACTGGAAAGTTGGTTTAATAACTAAGAATAGACTAATCTCAACAGGTGTCAACTAGTACCGGCACCATATAAACGACCTCAGCACAACATCAACTTTACAAACAAACGACCACAACGACCGAATGTTACCCTCGGATCCAAACAGACCAATCACGACCGTCTTACTCCACTTAAGTCTTACGGCCAATAACATCACGGCAAAACTGACCAATCAGATTATACGACTCTGATGATGACTTCCACTGATGATGACGTTAGTCGCAACTAGCGACAACAGTCCTTCTCAGAACCACAGTATCGTAATTACCATGTTAACCAACAGTATTTACACATTAATGAGCGAGTGAGTGACTCATTTGCAGGTAGGGAAAAAATCGTTTCAAGTTAAAAGAAAACAGCCAAAAAGATATGGTGGCTAGCGCGCCGCGCAGAACTCTGACAGTACTTTTCGTGTGTCTTACTCCCAGGGTTCCGCACGCTAGCCACCATTTGATTTTTTTAAACTCGCGCAACAGACATCGCCGAAAAAGAGGAGTTACTAAATATGCTCGCTATGTCATATATTTAAGGCATATAAACACTTTCATTGGCTTGTTTTGGTTTTTGTTCGGTGGTGGTGGAGAAGAAAAGAGCATCTCAGTGAGGGATCGAGAATTTCTCCTTGTTACCGAGTTTGGAAGGATCTTGATGGGAGCCTACGTGATCTGCTCAGGGATAGTTGCCTTCAACACGCTGGTTGCCATGATGAATGACTCAGTCCGTAGAATTATGGTATGTGGTATTGATAAAGAGCCAGGAAAAAAACCTCAGCCTTAAATTCATGTATAAATCGCGGGCCACTTGTTAAAAAATTTAACTCGCAATTCGGTGATGTTTTTCGTTTGGCACTTCTTTAGTGCCAACCGAAGGAACCAGTTGGCACAGTGAAGGAACCGGTGACTTGTCACCGGTTCCCTCACTTGCAACGATCCAGTTTTGTGGTATAAAGCATATTGTACATATTAAGTATAAAATTTCATATGGTATTTTCTTCTTTTATATTTGATAAGAACATCGATGGACAAAAAAATGACTTTATTTAGTTCTTATCTTCGAAGGTAAATGCTCAAGAAGAATGGAAATTCTCAAGAACTGAAGTGTGGTTGGATTGGATTGATAAAAGCAACACAGTTCCAGTACCTTTCAATATTATTTAGGTCGTCGTGCTGTGTTGTAAAAGAGCCTTATCCATCGTACTAAAACGTTGCATTAAGGAAAGAGATATACTTAAAGAAACTGTTTCCTGCGGCTTTTTCCTTCAATATTATCCTGGTAACTCTAGTTTAATTTTTTTACATTTTTTTCTAGCACTCAGAGTATTCAAGTTAATTAAGGCTTTCGTTTTCTACCCTATATAGCTTCTAACGTTTTCTCTTTTTAACTCGCCCTGCGTAGACAAAGACAACATTTACTTTCTGTCCGATATTCCGTTTTGCCATAAAACAAGACTACCATTTAAAAAATCTATACAATATTTCTTACTTTAAAATCATATGCTAATGTCATTCTCTAATAACTAATAGTCATGTACATAAACCTTTTTTAGAAAGACAAAAGTGGAGTTTTCTCAAAGCGCAGTGAATTTCATTAACAAAAAGTATGATTCTTTTGCCTTAGAACAACATTAACCAAGATGAAACCTTTTGTTGTTCGGAGGAGAGAACATGCAATTCATCATTGAGATGTAATACATCAAAACCCTTCTTGCTAAAAAAAGATCTAAGATAACAATTCATAGAAATTTTTACTGAGAGACTCAAAAATAAGACAATGTGGACGAGAGAGTTGAAGGGAATATACGAATTTCTTTTAGTTTCTTCGGTCTTTCCTCTCAGTGTTTTTGCCCTATCTTTAAATTCCTCCGCTATGACACGTTCATTCAACTGAAAAGACTTGAAACTTCCGGTTCAAATTCCTCACCCCACCCAGACAAGGTTCAAATTCCTCGCCCCACCCAGACAAGGTTCAAATTCCTCACCCCACCCAGACAAGGTTCAAATTCCTCGCCCCACCCAGACAAGGTTCAAATTCCCACCCGCTGGCAAGAACGACAATCAAATTTCCTTGAGTTGCCAGGGGGATGTTGAAGCTTCGAATTGATTGGCGGATAATAGTCATATCATAAACCTTATTGCAGCCGTTGAACAAAAAAGTTTCCGAGCCCGGTGAGATCTCCTTTTCGTTTTTCTACCCTGTAGCACTGTTGCGGTTCTTTAAATATTCAAGCCAGTCAGGAGCACAGTTAAAAGCAAAAGCCATACAGTTATTGATGGAACATTTAACTTGACACTGGCCATAAACTTCTCAAACACCGAGTCTACTTTTAACTCTTTCACATGATGTCGCTCTTAGCTTTTAAATGGGCGGTATTCTGCCGAGAGTAGGAGTTATCAGGTCAGAATCATGATGGATTAATTATGATGAAACATTGAGAATTTTTTGAGTCATAACGGATTGCCTTTGGAGCGAAAAAAGATTGATTTTTATCAAAAGTACCGACCATTCGTAATTTCATAATTCAGTCTGATGATTATATGGGAGAGCAGTGAAACAATCCATCGATCCGTATTTTAGGTTCGTTAACAAGGTTAACAAGCTCTCTGTCGAACGCCGCCATTCTGTCATCCTAAAATTCGATTCTCTCTCTCCTAAACAGGAACGCATTGCGGTAATGAAAAATTTGGTCGTGAAGTATCTGAAGGGACGTTACTCGGACAAATGGACAGACCATATGGCAGAATGGTTATAAAATAGACGGGTTAGAACGATCCAGGAATGCCTTTCTTGGTCCACCTGCTTGTTGCTGTTGTTTCTACGTTTTACAAACTTTCTTTGTACACTGGGAGACAGATCATTCTGGTCGCAGCTCCGGCACTCTGGAATGTATCACCACGTGAGATTCGTTCTATTACAGATCTAGGGATTTTTAAGTGCCATTTGAAAACGCACCTTTTTAAGGAAGCTTTTTATTAATTTTTATCACGAAAATTACTAGTATCTTAACATCTATTGTATATTTTAATTTTATTATAGTATATTGTAAATAATTATCAGTTAGATACCCTGTATTAAATTGCTATAGATAAAAATCATGTAATGCGCGCTTGATCATTTCATGGAAAGCGCGCAATATAAGAGTTAAATTATTATTATTATTATTATTATTATTATTATTACCTTCAGTGTCCATGCGCTTTACAAGAGGGATGTTCAAGATTAAGAATTCTAGCATAGATTGACTTATAGCCCTTAAGTCTGCTTTGAGTAAATATATTGTTCAGATTTGTCATGATACCTACATAGACTCTACATGGTGTAAGATGGTCGTCGTCAGTCAGTTTCGATCCATCGTTAGCTTGTTAGGTCGTTCTGTTGGAGTTCGTTTGCATGGTAATTGTCGTTAATAACGTATGGTGCCGGTAATTGTTGAAATCTGTCGGAGGAAGCTGAAAAAGTGATCAATCAATTGAACTCAATTCTTCATTCGATTCTGATGATGACTTCTGCTAAGGTTGTCAAAAAATCAGTCAGGACAGTCGAACCTCGATTATCCGGACTTTTCGATTATCCGGACTTTTTCTCTGGTCCCGTTTTTTTCATGAATATTAATGACCTTAGATGTTAAAAACTTTAGGAGGTAAAAAAATTCAGAAATTATGTTAAAAGTCAGGAAAATTGTGTTTAAAACAGCGCATTACACGTTCCGCTTTCGAAAGATCGAGCGCTCGGAGACAAAAAGAGACAAGAAGCATTCTTATGCGTTCAGCTGAATTTTGATTGGTTCAGCATTGTTTTGTTGCTAAAGGAATGTCATGCTTGATCAGTTCGATGAGCGTGGGTTATGTAAACACACGAGACGATCATAACTCAATTGTCTCATTAATATTCATATTTTCGATTATCCGGACTCTCGATTATCCGGACTATTTACCCTAGTCCCACCGAGTCCGGATAATCGAGGTTCGACTGTAGTACCGACAACAGTTCTTCTCGAGACTTTCTTGATCCGGAGGATCATACGATGAAATAACTTCTTTGTCAAAGTCGTTGTTACCTGATTACTCTAGAAACATCAGATCCCAGCAAGCCTTTACAAAGGTGTCTCCCAAAGCAAACTTTTATGAGAGGTTGTTGAGGGTTCAACTTTTTATTGACCAACGTTTCAGAGTAATTAAGAATATTTAAGTGTTGTTACAGATCGGCGACTTTTCTTGTATTTCTTGAATCAACCTTTGTAGTTTGATAAACGGAGAGTGTACTGTAGTTTTGTTATGTTGTATAATTTCGACCGCCAGGTAAAATAAAGATAAGTCGTGAAAACTGGTACTCTGCTTACTATAAAAATTACCTTAGTCCCTATGAAATATCACTTGCATTTTAATCCTAAAGGAAAAACTTCTATTCCTACCAAGCAAATTTTTCGTTAAAGGGCCCTTAGGCTTTACGGTATACGTACTTCGTGTTCTTCGCACGAAAATCCTAATGGAATCTGGATACATGCTCAATATCCATAACCGGTATCTTTTAACGAAATTGGAGCATGAGTTAATTAAAAAGTAACCGATATTATGAACTCTTCAAAATGAAATGCATGAGGTGAAAATTACAATAATGAGAAGCTTTAGAATGACTCTAGTATCACCAACTGTTAGAGCGTAAATAACACTCGTGACGCGTGACGTGTAACGTGGCGTGACAGTTGAACACGAAGGTAAGCGTTGAAGAGACGAAGAAATATAGCAGAGATCTTTGTGGTGCTTCATGGTTTTCATGGTAGAATAACAAGCTTAGTAAGTGCTTCAAGAGGACTCTTGGTGTTACTTTATGCGTTGTAATTAAATGTGCAATGTACTCTGGGAATTGGGTGCAATTTCTGGCATTTCTCACCGTATTTCTCTCTCCAAAAATATATTGAAAGCTGTACTCTGCCTACTGCGATTGCCACGAAGCAGAGAAATTTGGTAAAAAAAGGTCTGATAGGTTTGCCTCTTTTTTTATTTTTATTATCGGTATCTCCATCCGCAGTCGCAGCAATCAGTGTCTTCGTAGACTGACGAATGACGAGCTCGATATACTTTGTCTAACCTTTTCCCCGGGAAGACGTGTTTCCTTCTTCGTTTGTCATCGCGATACAGCCGTCGATAGAAATCTAAAATCCTTTCACTTGATACCTACCCCCTTAACCGAGTCACATGGCTTCAGCTTGCCATGCTCGTAAACTCATTTTTCCGGGAATTAATCGAAGCTGAAGCAGTTCTGTAACTTCGGAGTCAAATTACATGGTACAGCATTTTCTGTTTCATGACGCCAACAACAACGACAGGAACAACAACTTTGAGATTTATCACGCAACCCAACTGTGCAGAAATTTAGTCATCTAGTAGTTGGCCTTCATACAGTTTTCATCAGCTATTGAAAATCATTGTTTCCAGGTGACACTAGAATCACCTTTCACGATACGTGGAAATGAGAGGTCTGGGACGAGAAAGAATGGAATTCTCTCCATGAAAGCCCCCAACAATTCATGTTGAAGCGTTTTGTCGTTCCTTTGTCCCGGACACAACAAAGTATGCCCCAAAGAGGTAAAGGAAACTTTGATTCATTTCTACAAAAAGTACGGGAAGGAACCCGGGAAGAAGTAGAACAAACCCTGCGTCCTGCTCTCCATTCCCATCCAAATCCAACTGAAAGAAGTTACCGCCAGAAACCGTCTGACGCCCTTGAAGCAGGCGATGCATATGAGGTCTGGAAACTTCTACCGCATCTTAATGGGTTAAGTAAGTTTATCGAATCAGAATTGAAGAGCCTCCGCGATAAGAACGGGAAGGAAGATTTGCCGAGCGAAGAAGATCGATTAAACCTAGATATTCAAAGCAACCCTCTGTGCTTAAGTCTAGAATGGCTGTGGAGGAATAATCCACAGTCTCCTCAGCACGAGGAAAGCGAGAAAGGAAGCATTATTGAAGCAGCTCTTGATAATGCTTTTCTACTGGAAAAAATGGCTTCGTACGAAAATCACTTCAGCCATGATAAATACATGGATCGTGCAGAGGAATGTGAAAAGTTTGCCATAGACATCGTTGAGCAAGTAAACGACAACAAAGAGCTGCTGCACAAAGTCATGGATATCGACGGAGAGGGAACTTTGGTGAAGGAGAAGTCCAATGATTTTATTCGTAGCTTAAGTCTGCTCAAGATGGCTGCTAATAAAGAGCGCAAAATGGTGAGTGGTAAATTGATAAGTCTAATGAATACACTGTTTGAATTTACTGTGAATTTGAATTTACGTTACCAACTCAGTTGATAGTACCAAATTACCTCGTTAATAAGTCTTCCAGGCTCCGCTTGAAAGTGAAATTGATTTTTCTCAGGCTTTAATCCGCACTCATATAGGTAAAATATAACAAAAACTTTATCTTGTATTTTGTTGACAACCAAAAACGTTTAACGGTAATAGAGACATCATGTATTCGGAGAAATTGAATTCTCGGAAAACGATATGAATAAAAAAACCGTCGTAAGTAAATTTAAGAGCCAATTTAACTCAGCGAGAACAATTCATTCCTGTGGCCGGGGTACAGTTGATAACGCACTTTGCCTTCAAAATAACTTACAGAATTTAGGCAAGTGAAAATAGGGTAGGGGGTGTAGAATGCTTCGCTTGTGTGTGTCTTTTGAGTGTGGCTAAGGTCCGTTTGCCTGTGTCTCTGGCATAGCTGTTTAGATGGAGGTTAAGGTGGCTCAGCCGCAAGCATCCGAGGAATGATGTTTATTCGACTGAACTTGCATTCCTCTCATAAGCCTGTCAATAAATCAAGTCGGCTTGGTCAAACACAGGACACCTCATCATAAGAAACGCATTACCACACACCCAATGATTAAACTGAGCACCTTCGTAAAAACTGTGCATTGCTGCATACGAAAGAAAAAGGAAGACCTCTTTAAAAAAAAAATTTGGCTTGTTTGTCATTGAGAATTTTGCGCCAGAGTTTACGATTTTAATTTGCGAAAGTATGAAATCGATGCTCATTATCTTTGCAGGATCTAAATCATATACCGGAAACGTCAGACGTATTTGACATAACGGAAAAGACAGGGAAAGAAAAATGACAACTAGCAGACTTAACGTCTTTCAAATTTAACAAAGTCTCTGAGTAATAGATCATTCCCCGTACTTTCGTGAGTTACACTCCATTTAATCGTTAATTTTCAATTGTTCCCGGCGCTTCGCTTCTGAACATTCTCAGATGATCCCCAGAACTTGTAAGGGTGGCGCCGGTTAGAAATTTCAGTAGTTTTACGCGACAGCAGCACTAAAAACGCAATAAACTATTTTGGTCAGGCAACGTCAGACTCTCTCACAAAGAGGACGCGAGGCGCAAAAGCAAATTTAAACCTTTCTGAGCCTATTTTCACGGAATTAACCTTGGACGAAACCTCGCTTGCAAACATTAACCTCGAAGATCGGAATAAGAAAATGGCTGAGTATAAAATTGGATTTCATTGCAAATCCAAAGTGGTATGTTTTTCCAAGAGCTGTCTTACCCTCAATAACAAGCAACTACGCGATTCTCAAACCTGCTAATACTGTTGAATTTCAGCATCAATTCAGGGAAATTAATTTTCTCATAATAAACCAAACATTTCTCTAACACTAGCCAATTGTTGTCTATCGTCTAGCATTGACAAACATCAGCATTTTTTCACGCCTTCTTTTGTACAAAGTCGCTCACAAGGATTTCATTTTGACCACAGTTTCACTTTGGTTTTACTTGATTTTCAGTTTGTGGCAAGCCCAAACTGTCAATTTGTTCTTGACGAAGTCATCTACCACGGATATCCTGGTTGGCGAAATAGGGGAATCGGGATTAAAGCAGCCTGGTGCTTGTTTCAACTTTTACTCGTCAGCCTTACGATCCTCTTTTACATCCCACTTAAGTTAATTCGCAAGAATTTCCCGTGCTGCTCTGGATTTGACTCCGACTGGCTGAAAAAGCCGTACCACTGGCTGATAATGCTATATGAGCATCCTTACTCGAAGTTTCTTAACCACACCATGTCATACATTATATTTCTGGCTTTAATCTTTGGGTCATCTTTTGAGTACAAGTATGTGCCTGGCAGAGCAGGCCTTACGTGGATTGGTAAGTTGATTTCATCTGAATAATCCATTTCAAATCTTGTGTTCTTTAAAGGGCGAAACGGAAACTTGTGTAAGATACATTTTATTTTGATAGTTAGTCGTCACGCAAAATCCAAATAAGTAATGTAAGAGGAAATTTCTTAACACAGAAAGTCGTGATTTTATCTTGCCGCTTCCCACCAACAAAATCCAGGGGAATTTGAGTGCTTTTGAGTCCAATTGTTTCAGAGCCCCAATATTGTAAATTAGTACGAAGATACATCGAAAACTTCAGTGATTAGATTCAGAGAACCATTTCCTTGGAAACATAAAAATCATTATGACAGACATTGTAGGTAGATGAGAAAATAAGATTCTGCCCTTCATGACTTGCAATTTGAATGCATCTATTTTTCTAACACTCGACAAATATTAAGTAAATAAATCATCCTTAATGCGGCTGGCATGTCGGCTGATAATGTTCACGGCTGGTGTATTTTCTGAAAAATGACTATTTGGCTTAAGAGATAAGCTACGAGGGCAATCCCTCAGCCGAGGACATTATCAGCAGACATAACGGCAAGCCAGGAGAGGGTTTATTTACTTTCTAACCCTCTCATTGATTTTTGTACCGGGGATTGACAGCAAATTTTGTTTATTTCTCGTACTTTTCAAAGTAGCATTTGAGATCAGCTTTTTAATGTTACTATTACAGGACTCTACAGTTCGTTTTTTCTTTCTATAAACCGTAATAAAAATGAGAAAGTGAAACCCCTGAGCTTTCTTTTTCCGTTGCCTGTGTTCCTTTTTCCTTTGATGCGAACGGGGGATTTTTTGCGTGATAACTTCCTGGTGATTTTGTATCACGTGACGAAAATTAGCCTATAGAATCAGTCGGAAATTAATGAGTGGGCTGTAATTAACACCAAATTGCTGGGGAGGAAGTGGGATTGTCGAGGGGATTTTCAACTAAATTCAATGAGCCTGAGGTGATTAATTGTTTAGTATAATTTTTCAGGTGCTTCAGAATTCTGTTGCAAATTCGTTTTGCTGTTGAAACCATCCTATTACAATTGTTTAGAGTCCTCGTATAGATATAAGCAACTAGTTTCCTCAGAATTATATTTTCTTCTTTCATGTTTATCACTTCCTTAGTAACATTGACAAACGCAAGGTAGCTGTTTTGACTATTATGGGCCCCTGCTCTAATCACCTCGCACGAGGTGATTATGGTGAGATATGGTGCAATCCTCAACCTATTTGAGTGCGTGTCTTTCTATACACACCTGAGCAATTATACTAAACAGAAATATCGGTAAGCGCTATCATAACAGGTGGGCTGCAACGCTTGCCTTTTGATTTCATACCTGACAAGATCTAGGGGACATATCCACAGGAGAACTGCAGCGGAGTGCAAGCATTTTGGAGTTTGCAATTAGTCCTTGTTCATGGGTAAACAAAGAGAGTACATCAGCTTTACTTATAACTGGATTAATAACTTCTACCCACAGATTTGGTTATAATGCCCTTCGTCCTTGGCCTACTAATACAGGAAATCGTGGAAGCCTGGAGGCAAGGTGCTTTCATTTACTTCTCAAAGTGGTGGAATGTTGTTGATACAGTGATTATCCTCACATTCATAGGGGCCTACGGTATATGGTTGATCGCGTGGGGCGTTTACGGAGAGTGGAAGCCTGAAAAAAAAGTTTTCATCTATGCAGATGGCATTTATGCCAGTGCTTGCGTCGTGGCCTATTTTCATTTGGCACACTTTTTCCAGGTCAATTCAACGCTGGGTCCCTTACAGCTGTCACTTTACAAAATGCTGAGAGATGTCCTTAAGTTTCTTTCCATCTTTCTCCTTCTCTACTTTGCGTTTGCTACTGGGGTGGCCAAGATTTACTCGTACTATGAAGCCTCTCAAAGAGAGCTCCAAAAGCGGGACACCGAAACCACTGACTACCAACTTTCTCATCCATTTTCATTGTGAGTATTCCAGAATATCTTTGGATTTTTCTCGTAGGTGGTTGTCGAGCTAAGTTTCGGTTTCAAACTATTACTGAACACCATTTTGTTTCGTGCTTAAAATTTATTTAAATAACATGTTTCCATGATTGAAAAACTTGAAATATTTCCAAAAATACTGAGTATTTTTATTCCCATACAGCCTTTTAACTTTCCTTTGCGAACTAAGAGACGATCAGGAGTGATAAACAGACAGAAACTTTAAAAAAAAAACTGGAACTGACGACACCTGTTATATATATTTCAAAGTTGTTTGCCCGTTGCAAAATTTGATTAGTCATGAACTCATATTGATAGCAAAGCCTAGTCCACGGCTATAACATTAGTTTCTATAAAAAAAAAAAAATGAGATAACATTTCGTTCTCACACCTTTTTTAGACATACCAACACTTTCATTGTCTTGTTCTGGTTGCTGTTTGGTGGTGGTGGACAGGAGGAGAGCATTTCAGTGCAGGATCAAGATTTCACTCTCATAACCAAGTTTGGTCGCGTATTTATGGGAGCCTACGTCATATGTACCATCCTTGTTGCCCTCAGCATGCTGATTGCTATGATGAACGACTCATTCCACGAAATCAAGGTAATTTTAAAGGGTTAGTTTGGTGCTAAGTTATTCCACAAAAAACCAGAGACAAAAACTAAAACGTTGACGCAAAACAACTGACAAAAGTTTAGGTGTCTGCAATCACAGTACAAGCTTCTTTTGAAAGATGATTTGGTTTTATCAATTGCTGACCGTTATCATCTCTTTGTCAGTGAGAAAAGAAGAAGGGTACTGTGACGTAAAGCTGACGTTCGGAAAGTCACCTGTAGAAACTTTCTAGGTGACCAATTTACATTATCAACTCAGATAATAAAAAACCAATTATCTTGTAGTACTCTCCACCAACGCAGCATCATACTTTGGTCAAAAACTTACCCATTTATTCATTAAACATTTTTAACGATCACCATGGCAATGCAGACTAAATATTAGAAAAATATGATCACCGAAATCGTTTCAGAGTACATGCAAAAGAGATGATTACGTTTAAAATGCAAGGTACCGGTTCCACTTAACAAGCTTAGGACACCCCCCTTCTCCCCGCTATAAATTAACAACACAAACAAACAAGTCTGACAATAACCCCCCTGCAAGCTTTAGTTAGGGAAATTTCCCCAACTTCAGCTCTAGTCTCTGTACAAGATCCAAGTTGTTGTCTGTTTTTCAATGCTCAGTTAAACGTAACAAATCCGCTTTTTCTCAGAAAAACGCTGTTGTAGAGTGGAAATTCTCAAGAACCCAGATGTGGCTGGAATGGATCGACAAAGGCAACTCTGTTCCGGTTCCATTCAATATTCTATATGAGGTTCTGTACATTTTCTTTTGGTTTTGGTGCGGCTGTCGTGAATCACTGTGTTTCAAATGCAAAGAGGTACGAAATTTAATTTTAAACTGCACCACCCCTACTTTTCCCCTCTTTAAATAAGCCAAATGAATGTCCTGTGATATCTAATTTTGGCATCCAGCGTTTGAGCGTACAGAGAGCAGACTGGTTCAATTGGCCACTTCAAATCGTTTGTCTAGCCAATTAGAGCACATAATAAGTAGTGCGTAGTTAACAAAATCTTTAACACTCATTTCCAATTTAAAATGTTATCCTGGTGAAGAAATCAGTCTAATTCTTGTAAAAAAAAATTAGGTAAGAAAATCGAGAAAATTAAGAGATTGTGCGATGATTTGGATGCCTATTTGGTGGTGAATAATATCCATAGTTGTTTAATTCGAATGCAAGCGTCAGCATGCGTTCAGTCTTACTACAATTTGACGTCATTTAAGATCCATAACTGAAAAGGCGTAGGTCAAATGGAATCTATTTGTTAACCATATACGTGAATTTATTACTTTTTTTTAATAAAAACAGAATAACCAAGTCTCAAGAGAAGGTATTCCCGGATGCAATTTTGAACGATGTGACGGCAGCAAGGACTCAGAAACTTCCGATAAGAAGGTACCCTTAACAATTTTTTGTATATTTGTTTATTTGGAAATATTTCTGAAGGTGTAACATATCGTTAAGTAACCACAGTTCGCTGTAATAAAAGAATAACACAACTCTAGTATGAAAAGTTCAGAGACTGATTAAACTAATTAACTGACTCAGAGCTAACCAATCGACGTTCACGAAATGAACCCTTCACTTGGGTGGGATTTTTCATTAAATTGACAAAAAAATATATTTGGGGCAAAAATATGCATGGATATTTGTTCACGATCAATAGCTATTCCGAGAGATCGAGTAATTTAAGGAACAGATCTAGATGTCCCACGACAACTATACGACAATATTTTGAAGCCGAAAAGATCCTACCGTGTTTATCAGCCTTCAAGCATTTGTTTTATTATTACATTTTTAGCGGGACAAAAAGGTTGGCGTCAAACACTTGTAAAGCGTGGGAAGGGGATATTTGATAAATTATAAATGAAATTGACAAGTTTTCAACGAAATGGGGGTAAACGCGGTAGACATTTACCGAGCCGCAAAGCTGCGAGGTAATATCCAGCACTTCTACCGACGCTGGGGTGAATAATTGTTTTAGTATATACCACACAGAAACCAAAACAATTCTTTATATCTCCCAATATACCGAAAAATTTTAACCTAACCCTTGACGTACGATTTTGCTTATTTGGCTGTTCCGAGTTGAATGGTACTTGTTAATTACCTCCGAACTAGCCAATCAACGCTCTTGAAAAGCACTATTCAGCTGAGTATTAGATACTAAGGTGAAATATCTGAATCAAGCGAATAGAAGTTAATTTTCTCTAATCTCCACTTTATCTAACTGAGGATCAGAAGGAAAGTAAGGACCTTTAAAGCAAACGAGGGTTTTAACTCAAGGCAACCTTGTTCGAAACATTCCTAACGAAGCCTCGGTAGATGAATGCTGGTTACCACCATGATCAACATGATTAATGAAAGTAATAGAACTGAGTGGACTCCAATTTGGCCTGTAATCATACGAGTGATTAACAAAATCGGACGACAGCGAAGCGAGAGTCCGATTTGTCAATCACGAGTATAATTACAGACAGAATTGAACGACACAAAGTCCTGTTACCAATTAATCATAACTGTTAAAATTTCCGAAAACAAAAAATACATTTAGGACAAAATATGTGCAGAAGAGACATTCTCTAGGTAAAAAATTCCTCAACTTTGGAAGTTCCATTATTTTTTTGGATAAATTATTGTTGCTATGGTTATTGTGATTAATTCTGTAATTGGTGGATTTGACTGAAAGGACTAGGTATGATTGGCTGCTTCAACTGTCCGATTACAGGTTTCTGATTGCAGGTTTCTGATTACAGCCAACTGTCCAATTACAACTCTACAGAATGATTAGTGAAAAATAAAGCAGCTAATGCACCAATCACATTTGAGGAGATTTTAATGGTGATGATTATGCAATTTATTGGCAAGCTCTCGTGTACTAATACTAATGCCATTTAATTAATTATTCTTTCGTTTCACTCTAGTCAATGAATCAGGAACGCCTTAAAGCAGTAAAAACTTTGGTCGTAGAATATCTGAAAAAGCACTACGAAGCCAGATGGAATAAATGCAGGGCAGCAACTACCTGAAGGGACTCTTAAAAGGATCTACCATCAGTGTGCTCAGGCTGAAGATAATCCTTGTTTGCTTTGTTTTGTTTTAAATGTGAACAGACCGATGTTCTACCGTAGTCCGTACAGTTTTCGTTTCTTGATGCTAGATGGTAGTCTTTCTCTAAGGCCAGAGTTGACGAATGCACATACTGTTGGAGAGCTAGTGAAGATTTAATGATATACAGAGTCGAAAGTTTTTAGGGTAAAAAAAAGTTGAGAAGCCAACTTCAACGTTTTAAAAACGGCTATTACCAACAGAGGTCCCCAAATTTGTAATGACCACAATTGTTACTTTAAGAATGATGATTAATTTCTTAAATCAGAAAATTTAAAGTATGCTCTAGATGCAGTGTCAACTCCATCTTCTCCATTCCAAATTATTTATCTTTGCTTGAGTGTTACCACGATATTAGCTTAAGATTGGCTAAACCACTTTGAAAGACGGGAGGTTTACATATGGGTATTTCGAAATAAACCAGGTTCTAGAAGGATTTGACTGATGATTACATACTAAGTTAAATTACGCACGCATTTGATTGGTTATTTCTCATGATCTATTAGTGGACAGACGCATAGATGACGTCACTATTAGCAACACTTTCTTTTTTATCATATAAAACAGATAGATTCCATGGTGCCGTGGGTTTATTCTATACTAATAGGGACCTTAAGCAAACCACGATGGCGACGGCAGCGAGGACGTGACGAAACCAAAGATCTAACGAGCAGTACAATGGCTCACTCAGCATGTGCATTTTAAAACTGTGCACATTTCTTCGCCGTTCTCTGCAAAATAACAATGTGAAATCATCAAAATTTGTGTGGTACGAGAAAGGAAACCCTAACGGCAAATTACTTCAGTTTCTATTTGGAACTCAACGCCGCCTTCATTCTTTATGCTGAGGTTAACTAACGGCGTCGTAAGAGATGGTAAACACATCAAGTCAGTCGCGAAATTCCGACTAAGAATTTTTATCCATTTTTAAATAGACGTCTTCCTTGGCGTTGCCGTCCTAACTGCTAAAGGTCCCTGATCGATCACAGAAGACACCAAAATATGATAAGAATATCAGGACACTCGGCCGTATTTTTTACGTTCCGTTTAAGGTTCTTATCACAATTTGATGTCATCTGTGATCTATTACTGAACAGAAGCACATGTAGGCTGGATAATGTATGTATATTAAGTAAAAGTTATATTTTAATCACTTCTGGGATTTAAAGGGTTAAACAAATCAAAACTAGAAGCAAATAGCTGAAGATGAGCCAAAGGAGGCTAGTAGATCCAGAGAGGCTGGTATCGCCAGTTAAATCGGAATGTACTTTGTTACTTTTAGTTAACCTAGTTCCTGCTAGTTTTTTTCTATTCTCAGACAAGGAGGTTGAGTTTCAGACTCCAAATACTTGTACATAAAGAACGAGTGATTTGGCCACAGTTGTTGACTAGCCATTGTTGTCAAGACCTTTTCAGTCAAGATCTTTATTCATGGCGTTTTAAGCCCATATGTCACCTATTGCGTTTGATGATGACTTGACAGCGAGGGCTGTCGCGCGAGTCCAAAATCTAAGAATAGCTAAGGCCAACTTATGGATAGAGTAATCTAGAAAGGAAACATGTTCGTCAACTTGAAATCAGTAGTCTTGTAGCAAAGATTAAAATGACCAAAAGAACTCCAAAAAAGTCGCGAGGTTTTTTTTCGGTCTCGAAAGCTTCCTGAAAGTCACAGAAAAATCCAGAAAGATGGTAACCATCCAACCCCGTAGTACAACATAATTTCCTGCGTTTATGGAATTTCCGTTTGCGAACTTCATCTCTGGTAAACTGTATGTAAGTGTTTCGTCCGTTAGGGTTGTGGTGGAAAGCGTCGATATCGTCGTGCCGTACGGCGGTGAATGTATCGTCAACGTTGCGTGAAACGGTATCGTTCGTCGGCAAGTCGATAAGAAGCGTTCCTCAAACATACAGTTTACCAGAGAAGTCGAAAAAAATGGTGAACTTTTTTTTCTCGTTTGCCTGGTAAGCCGTGACGACTACTCACTACGGACGACAGTTTACAGGAAACAGACTCAGGAAACCAGATATCACACAAAGCCACAGGGCTATTAACTATCAGGACTCTAACACGAGTGCAGCTAGTATGCAACACGACAGACAACTTATCCGACGAGAACAAATAACTTGAAACCGCAACTCCTACGACTACAGCAATTATACCGTACATAGAGAGCATGTCTGAGAACATCCCGCGCATCCTACAACCCTTCAATATCCGCATCGCCCACAAACCCACCACCACACTTGGCCAGTTACAAACAAACGCCAAACACAAAGAAGAAAAGACAGGAAGCGGCTATTAGATCAATTGCTCCGACTGCCACGCCTCCTACGTCGGAGAGACTGACAGAAACCTCACTACAAGACTGACTGAACACAGGCGAGCGACGAGGAAAGGTGAGGTCAGCAATCACGTCGCTGAACATCATCGACTTACGAACCACACTTTTGACCGAGACTCTGCGTAATGCCTAACCTAACTGGAAAGTTGGTTTAATAACTTAGAATAGACTAATCTCAACAGGTGTCATCTAGTACCGGCACCATATAAACGACTTCAGCACAACATCAACATTACAAACAAACGACCAGAACGACCGAATGTTACCCTCGGATCCAAACAGACCAATCACGGCCGTCTTACTCCATTTGAGTCTTACAGCCAATAACATCACAGTAAAACTGACCAATCAGTTTATACGACTCTGATGATGACTTCCGCTCAGGTTGGCGGGACGTTAGTCACCACTACCGACAACAGTCCTTCTCAGAACCGCAGTATTATAATTACCAATGTTAACCAACAGTATTTACACATAAATGAGCGAGTGAGTGACTCATTAAATATGCTCGCTACGTCATATATTTAAGGCATGTAAACACTTTCATTGGCTTGTTTTGGTTTTTGTTTGGTGGTGGTGGAGAAGAAAAGAGCATCTCGGTGAGGGATGAGAATTTCTCCTGGTTACCGAGTTTGGAAGGATCTTGATGGGAGCCTATGTGATCTGCACATGGATAGTTGCTTTAAACATGCTGGTTGCCATGATGAATGACTCATTCCGTAGAATTATGGTATGTGCCTTAAATTCATGTATAAATCGTGGGCCAATTGTTAAAAAAGTTAAGTCGCAACTCGGTGATGTTTTTCGTTTGGCACTTCTTTAGTGCCAACCGAAAGAACCGGTTGGCACAGTGAAGGAACCGGTGAATTGTCACCGGTTCCTTCACTTGCAAGGATCCAGTTTTGCGGTATAAAGCATATTGTACATATAAAGTATAAGATTTCATATGGTATTTTCTTCTTTTATATTGATAAGAATATCGATGGACAAAATACTTTTAGTACTTATCTTCGAAGGGAAATGCTCAAGAAGAATAGAAATTCTCAAGAACTGTGTTCCAGTTCCAGTACCTTACAATATTCTTTACGTCGTCGTGCTATGTTGTAAAAGAGCCTTATCTATCGTACTAAAACGTTGCATTAAGGTAAGAGATGTATCTTTAAAGAAACTGTTTCCTGTGGCGTTTTCCTTCAATATTATCCTGGTAACTCTGGTTTAATTTTTTTTTTTGGCACTCAGAGTATGCAAGTTAATTAAGGCTTTCGTTTTCTACCCTATATAACTTTTGACGTTTTTCTCTTTTTGACACGCCCTACGTAGATAAAGACAGTACTTTACTTTTTGTCCGATATTCCGTTTTGCCATAAAACAAGACTACCATTTGAAAAATACATACACTATTTCTTGCTTTAAAATCATATGCTAATGTTATTCTCTAATAACTAATAGTCATGTACATAAACCTTTTTGCTGTAGTTAGAAAGACAAAAGTGAAGTTTTCTCAAAGGGTAGTGAATTTCATCAACCAAAAGTATGATTCTTTTGCCTTAGAACAACATTAACCAAGATGAAACCTTTTTTTGTTCGGAGGAGAGAACATGTAGTTCATCACTGAGATGTAATACATCAAATTTTGTGAAACAAAAACCCTTCATGCTAAAGAAGATCTAAGACAGCCGTTCATAGAAATTTTTACTGAGAGGCTCAGAAATAAGACAATGTGGACGAGAGAGTTGAAGGGAATATACGAATTTCTTTTAGTTTCTTCGGTCTCTCCTCTCAGTGTTGTTGCCCTATCTTTAAATTCCTCCGCTAAGACACGTTTATTCGGCTGAAAAGACTTGACACTTCCGGTTCAAATTCCCCACCCCACCCAGACAAGGTTCAAATTCCCACCCACAGGCACGAACGACAATCAAATTTCCTTGAGTTGCCAAGAGATGTTGAAGCTTCGAATTGGTTGGCGGATAATAGTCATACCATAAACCTTATTGCAGTAGTTGAATAAAAAATTCGTGTTTTCCCAGGTGCAGTGAATGTTATTGACTACTTGTATGATTTCTTTGCTTCAGAGTGATGATAACCAAGATAAACCGTGTTGTTGTTGCTGTATGAGAAAATGCCGTTGCCGCGAGAGTTGTTGCAAGAACTCGCCACCTTCCACAACCAAGGTATGATATTTTTAATATGAGTGAAACATGAAATTCATCATTGAGATACAATACATCAAGTTTTGTTAAACAAAAACCCCAAGAACGAGGAGAACAATTCATCGAAACTGTTATTGAGAAGTCAAAAGAATTAGACAGAGAAAGTTTAAAAGGATATACGCTACCTAAACTGAAAGGCAGGCTGGAGGCGAGTTTGCAAAATTAGAATGTCTTTTTGTTTTTTCCAAGCCCGGTGAGATCTCCTTTTCGTTTTTCTACCCTGTGGCACAGTTGCGGTTCTTAAATATTCAAGCCAGTCAGGAGCACAGTTAAAAGTAAAAGCCACACAAGTATTGATTGAACATTTGACTTGAAATTGGCCATAAACCTCTCAAACACCGAGTCTACTTTTGACTCTTTCACATGATGTCGCTCTTAGCTTTTAAGCGGGTGGTGATGATCGATTAATTATGATGAAACATTGAGAATGTTCTGAGTCATAACGGATTGCCTTTGGAGCGAAAAAAGATTGATTTTTATCAAAAGTACCTACCATTCGTAATTTCATAATTTAGTCTGATGATTATATGGGAGAGCCGGTTTCTCTATCGGCAGTCGCAGCAATGAATGTTTTCTTAGACTGGCGAATGACGAGTTCGATATGCTGTGTCTAACCATTTCCCCTAAAGAACGTGTTTCCATTTTGGTCTCTCATCGCGATACAGCCGTCGACAGAAATCTAAGATCCTTTCAGTAGATACCTACTCCTAAACCTGAGTAACACGGCTTCAGCTCGCCATGCTCGTAAACTCATTTCTCCGGGAATTAATCGAAGCTGAAGCAGTTGGGTAACTTCGGAGTCTAATTACATGTTACAGCATTTTCTGTTTCATGACGCCAACAACAACGACAGGAACAACAACTTTGACATTTATCACGCGATCCAAGTGTGCAGAATTTTGTAATTTAGTGGTTGGCCTTCATACAGTTTCATCAGCCATTGAAAAACTCACTGATTCCAGGTGACAATGGAATCACCATTCACGATATGTGAAAATGAGAGGCTCTGGGACGAGAATGTGTGGACAAATAAAGCTCTCTGATGTCCATATTTCCACGAATTATTTTCGTGAGAGCCCCCAACAACTCAAGTTGAAGCGTTTCATCGTTCCTTTGTCCCGGACACAATCAAGTATGTCCCAGAGAGGTGAAGGTAGCTTTGAATTATTTCTTCAAGAAGTATGGGAAGGAAGTAGACAAAGGGAGGCAGACCATGCCTTGAATTCGGATGAGGCTGTAAAGCTGGAAGAAACTAAAGGAGGCTACCGCAAGAAACTGTTTGACGCCATTGAAGAAGGCGACCCATATGAGGTCTGGAAACTTCTGCGGAGTGGAGAATTCGAAAATATACCGCATCTTAAGGACTTAAATGAAGTTTCCAAATCCATTGCCGACACAGAGCAAAAAAAGGATTGCTTATGTAAGTTTATCTGCTCAGAATTGAAGAACATTTGCAAGAACTTCTGCAAGAACCTTTGCAAGAACAACGGAGAGGAAGATTTGCCAAGCGAGGAAGATCGATTAAACCTAGAAATTCAAAGCAACCCTCTGTTCTTAAGTCTAGAATGGCTGTGGAGGAATAATCCACAGTCTCCTCAGCACGAGGAAAGCGAGAAAGGCAAAGAGAGTAAGCTTAAAGACGTAATTGGAGTAGCTCTTGATGATGCTTTTCTACTGGAGAAAATGGCTTCGTACGAAAATCCCTTCAGCCATGATAAATACATGGATCGTGCAAAGGAATGTGAAAAGTTTGCCGTTGACATCGTTGAGCAAGTAAACGGCAACAAAGAGCTGCTGCACAAAGTCATGGATATCGACGGAGAGGGAGCTTTGGTAAACAAGAAGTCCAATAATTTTATTTGTAGCTTGAGTCTGCTGAAGATGGCTGTTGATAAAGAACGAAAAATGGTGAGTGGTAGGTTAATAAGTCTAACTAATGAAGGGGGTAACAAGGTAATTTGGTATTATCAGCTGAGTCGATAACATAAATTGGCTTCCGTTAAGAATTTAAAAGCTGACGTGTCGAGCGTTAGCCCTGCGTTAACCATGCGTTAGCCCTTCGCCATTCGCCATTCGCTAACGCTCGAAACGTCAGCTTAGAAATTCTTTACTGTGACCAATTTACGTTACCAACTTAGTTAATAATACCAAATGACCTCGTTAATAAGTCTTCCAGGCTCCGCTTGAAAGTGAAATTTATTTTTCTCAGGCTTTAATCCGCACTCATATAGGTAAAATATAACAAAAGCTTTATCTTGTATTCTGTTAACAATTAAAAAACGTTTAACGATAATAGAGACATCAGGCATTCCGAGAAATCGAATTCACGGAAAACGAAATGAAGAACAAGACGACAGCGAGACCAGTTATGATATGATTTACAAGATGACAATGCTGTTAAGCCTATAAAAGGATTCCAAAATATTTAAAAAGTAATTAAAACCGTCGTAGGTAAATGCAG